TTGTATGTGTTACACAAATAAGCATATCATATCTCATTAGTATGCAACTTTGATTTCATCTCTAGTGGTAAAATTATGTATAATAAGAATTAAGATAAATTTCTTGATTATCAGTAAATATTTGATTTATAAGCATGTTTTATATACCTACATATTCAGGGTCACATAAGTTTTAAGAAGCTCTGCTTTAGAGAGTAGCATGTTTCTGATTCTAGCATATTTGTTTAAAGTAAGTATCTTAGGTGGGTGTGGTAGCACACTCCTTTAATCCCAGCACATGGGAGGCAGAGGCAGGCAGGTCTCTTTGAATTCAAGGCTGCCTGGTCTACATAGCAAGTTCCAGGCCAGCTGGGGCTACAGGGAGACACTGTCTCAAAAAGACCAAATAAAATAAGTGTCTTTAAAACGACGCCTTAGATTTAATATTGATTGTTACTCTTTCAATATTTACAGGACTGCATTTTTTATGGTTTTGTTTCAAAAACCATTTTCTACAGGGAAAACTATTACAAAACACCAGGTAAGATTTCTGCAGAATAATTTATTCCTAACAGCTTCCCATTCAGTAGGACAGAATCAGTGCCATTTTTAATATTTCTAGACTTAACTTTCTGTTTTGTTTTCTGTTTGTTTTTGAGGCATGGCCTCCCATAGCCTCCTCTGGCCTAGAATTTGTTTGTAGTCAAGAATGACCTTAACCTCTTCCTCCATCTCCCAAAGTGCTGGGATTCTAGGCTTAGACCACTACACCTAGTTTATGTGGTGCTGATGCCCCAGCCCAAAGCTTCATGTATGCTGGGCAGGCTGTCTACCTACCCAGTTACATCCCTATTCCTAGAATTAACTTACCTTTCACTTTTCAGAATTAAGGCTTTAAGAGAAGGTATAAAATCTCAATATAGGGGTTGGAGAGATGGCTCAGCAGTTAGGAGCACAGGCTGTTCTTTCAGAAGACCCAGGTTTGAATCCCAGCACCCACATGGCAACTAACAACTGTCTCTAACTCCAGTTTCAGGGGATCCGACACCCTCTTCTGTCCTTTGCAGGCACTGCAAAACCTGGGTACACTTATACATATGCAGGCATAACATCAATAAGTTTTTTACGCATAAAGTAAAAATAAGATAAATCAAAAAAATTTTAAATCTCAATAGAATATTTTAAAATGCAGAAGAGCGGACTGGAGAGATGGTGTCTCACAACTTTAACTGCCTGTAACTCTAGCTCCAAGGGATTCAGTGCACTTGGCCTCCTTGGATACCTGCACTCATCTGTAGGTATCCACACACAGACACATACACATAATTAAAGATAAAATAAATCTTTAAAATAACAATGCAGAAGAGGGTAGCTGGCTTTAAAAGCATGTATGTAGGGGCTGGAGAGATGGTTCAGTGGTTAAGACTACTGGTTGCTCTTGTAGAGGACCTGGATTCGGTTCCCAGCACCCAACAGCTGTCCATAACTTACAACCTCTTTTGCCTCTGTGGACATTGTACACACATCATGCAGCCAAAATACTCATGCCATAAAATAAAAATAATCCAAAGAATTCTTTAAAAAGCATGTCTGTGATTGCTGTCTTTAGCAAAGCCTTCTCTTTTTTTAAATATTTTATGTGTATGAGTTTATTGCCTGCGTGTGTGTTAAGTGTACCCTTGTCCTGCAGTGCCCTTGGAGGTCAAGATGGGATAAGATCCCCTGGAACTGGAGTTATGGATGGTTGTTAGCCACCATGTGCGTGCTGGGAATCAAACAAAGGTCCTCTGCAAAAGTGGCCAGTGCTCTTAACCACTGAGCCATCTCTCCAGCCCCCAACAAAGCCTTCTTATTTAGAAAGATACATAAATCAGGCATAAAGTCATGCCCAGGAGCCAAGAGTGTCACTGAGAATTTGATAAGAGAGTGCAGGGTTAGAAGTAAGGCCACTTAAATCAGACATACTCGTGCCTGTACTGTTAATTTGTCTTGCCTTCATTTGCTCACTGCCAAAGTAGAGATATCTTTCTAAGTATGCCTGTGAGGAGTAGGTGAATTCATACATGCATAGTTTTTTAATTGTAGCAGACTTGTAAATATGCAGTACATACTAGAGTACAGTATGTCTCCCTCATCCTCATTGTTATTATATCCTGCAGCTTCAGGCCAGAAAAGTCTCTTATTCAGCAGAGTCTCACACAAACACTTCATCGGGGGCAGTTATACTCTATTGCATGTTTGCTTTATGCCACAAGGTAGAATCCTGTACCATGTTATTAGCATGACCAACTGAAGTATTTCTATTTTTAGAGACCAAGAACATTTTTTAAAACACAGTATTTTAAACACCATCTTAAGTTTCTTTCTCCATTTTCAAATGATTAGAGTACCAAACATTTCTCATGGAAAGCTGAGCATGGTGGCACATACTTGTACTCAGAACACTCAAGGAATCTGAGGCTGGAAGGTTGATAAGTTCAAGGCCAGCCTGTACTACATAGAGAGACCCTGTCTAAAAAGCAAGCAGACAGGGAAAAGATTTTAAGTACTAAGTCATTAAGAAATTCTAGGAAATTAGAAAATTAAAAGTTCTCCTGTGTAAGAAAAAGATTTCAAGACCTAACAACAGGTAAGACTATAAATAATTAGTAGAAGGCAGTATTGTTAGCTAGGCATGATGGCATATGCCTTAGTTCCAGCACTTGGGAGGCAGAGGGAGGCAGATCTCTATAAGTTCCAGGCCAGCTGGGGCTACAGGGAGACGCTGTTTCAAAAAGACCAAAAAAAAAAAAAAAGGAAAACAGTATTTTGTAAATCATGTAATTATTTAACCTTTAAAATGCCTTTCCCCTGTGTGTTTTATTTACAATTGGGATACTTAGCTTGAATGACTGAACTTTTTTTGTTTTCATTTATAGTGGGTCAAAATATTTAAACATGCAGTTGCTGGCTGTATCATATCACTTTTGTGGTTTTTTGGCCTTACTCTTTGTGGACCACTAAGGTAAATAAAAAATGCATATTTTCAATATTTGTTTATATTTCCTTATTTGAATCTTAATTTCATTCTGTGTTTTTATTTTATTTATTTATTTATTTGGGGGGACACGCATGTAAAGATCAGAGAACGTGCAAGAGTCATTTTTCTCCTTTTACTACTTGGTTCTTGAGGCTCAAACTTGAGTTACTACGCTTCGCAGCAAGTCCCTTTACCCACTGAGCCAGCTCAACAGTCCTTGTTCTATATTTTATATTTAACATTTGTATGTATAACAATTTCTATCACTTCTATAGCATTGAATATATTTCAACAAAGAAAGAATCGGTTTAGTTGTGGACTAGTTCTTTGGTAAATACCATTAACATATTTGTTCATAATCTATCATAGATATTTTATTGCTTATTTATCATAGACATTTTACTGCTTATACTTCAGAGAGTTTCAAATAGAGAAGCTAAAAGGTCTGAAGTGGAAAGTGAAATCAACCAAGAAAGATGAAACATCTTTAAAAGTGCTCTTTTTGGGCTAGGAGTGGTGTACGCCTTTAATCCCAGCACTCAGGAGGTAGAGATGGACAGATCTCTGAATCTGAGGTTAGCCTGGTCTACCTAGTGAGACCCTGACTTTAAAAAAAAGAAAAAGGGCAAGCGTGGTCGCACACACCTTTAGTCCCAACACTCGGGAGGCAGAGGCAGGCGGATCTCTGAGTTCAAGGCCAGCCTGGTCTACATAGTGAGTTCCAGGTCAGGTCAGCTGGATCTACAGGGAGACCCTGTCTCAAAGAGACAAAAAAGAAGACAAGGAGGAGAAGAGGGACGGGGAGGAGGAAAGAATAAAATGAAGAAGAGGAGGAGGAATAAAATGACTATCCATGTATGCAGCACTCAACCCCAGATAAACTCTTACCAGTACCTTTCAAACCCCCTGTGCCTCTCCTGATTGAATGCCTTTGGATATAACCAGTATCTTAAGTTTTGCTTTTCATTCTCTTGGATTTCTTTGTAGTTTACATGGGGATTGAATCTAGGGCCTCACTCAGGCTAGGCAGGTGCCCCACCTCTAAACTATATCCCCAAGACCATTTTTATTTTGAGACAGGATGTTTCTACATTACTCAGACTGGCCTCGGACCTACTTTGTAGACCAAGCAGCCCTTAAATTTGGCATCCTCCTGCCTCAATCTCCCTAGTAGCTGAGATTATGGGCCTGTATTATCAAGCCTGGCTCTTTTTTTTTTTTTTCTTCTTCTTTTAAAATAAAGTTTAGCTTTACAAAGTTAAATATACATTTTAGTATTTTTTGTATATTTATAACATTCTATTCCTACTGCTTTATAACAGTCCATCAAATGGAAATACTTCATTTATGTTATTCTCTTATTAGTAATAATATATAAGCAATGCTGTAAGAGCAAACTTTCAAATACTTACTTTTACTTATATTATTATTGTATGTGTATACAGAAGTTTGGAGGGCTGGGGAGATGGCTCAGTAGGTAAAGTGCTTGTTACACAGGCATAGGGACCCAAAAAACCATTCACTGCAGTGTATGCTTGTAGCCCCGCTGCTGGGAAGGTGGAGACAGGAAGATCCTGGGAGCTCGCCATTTGGCCAGTCTAGCTGAAAGAGCAAGCTGCAGACTCGGGGAGAGACCCTGTCTCAAGAAATAACATGGGGGTGGGGGGCTGCTTCCATGTAGGCCCACGCACACACATGCGTATACTACACACAGAAATCTGGGATAGCAAAACTTGTCTTAGGGAGTAAAAGTGCTTACTGTGCAGGCCTAACAATCTGAACTCTATTTCCAAAAAGTTTTTCTTTTTTTTTTTTCCTTTTTGAGACAGGGTCTCCCTGTAGCCCTAGCTGGCCTGGAACTCGCTATGGTAGACCAGGCTGGCCTTGAACTCACAGAGATCTGCCCGCCTCTGTCTCCTGAGTGCTGGCATTAAAGACCTGCGCCACCACGCTTGGCAGAAAGTTGTTCTTTGATGTACACACACATAGCATAACACAATAAATAAAATGAAACCTTTTTTTTAAGACAGGGTCTCAATATGCTGTACTGGCTGGACCTAGAACTTGCTTTGTATATCAGGCTGGCTTGGAACCCACACAGACCTGCCTGATGGAGTAAACTTTTTTTTTAAGAAATTTAGCCAGGCTTGGTGGGACACACCTTTAATCCCAGCACTTGGGAGGCAGAGGCAGGTAGATCTTTGTGAGTTTGAGGCCAGCCTGGTCTACATAGTGAATTCCAGGCCAACCAGGGCTACATAGTGAAACCCTATCTCAACCAAAAAACAATAAAAAAAAAATTTTAAAGGAAATTAAAATGTAGAAAATAGATTCATAATTCTAAGGGTGGTGTTTTCAGGTATTTGTAGCCTCAGCCTTCCTAAGGCAGAAGACACCAAAATATTTTGGACTTATACCTATTTATTTTTCTCATGTTTTGTGAAATTAAGTGATTTTCCTTTTACCTACTCTAGTTGAATTCATGCTTCCTGGTAGAAAGATCAGCTACATTTCCTGAATGGTGTTTTGTTTCCATAGGACTTTGCTGCTGTTTGAACACAGTGATATTGTTGTCGTCTCACTGCTCAGTGTTTTGTTCACGAGTTCTGGTGGAGGACCAGCAAAGGTAGAATTTTCCATCTTCAACTACTTAGAACTTTAAAGCACAAAGCCAGGCGTGGTGGTGCACGCCTTTAATCCCAGCACTTGGGAGACAGAGGCAGGTAGGTCTCTGTGAGTTCAAGGCCAGCCTGGTCTGCATGGTGAGTTCCAGGACAGCTGGTGCTGATGAAAACAAAAAGTAGGTGTTAGACATTGTTCAAAGCAAAACCAAATCATGTATTTTACTATTCATAAGAAGGAAAGGACTTTTAATACTAGCTAAACATTTTACTTACAAAAAATATTTTTCTGGAGCTGGAAAAATGGCTCAGCAGTTAAGAGCACTGGCTGCTCTTGCAGAGGACCCAGGTTCAATTCCCAGCACCCACATGGCAGCTAACAACCATCCATAACTCCAGTTCCAAGGGATCTGATACCCTCTTCTGACCTCCATGGGCATTGCACGACATACGTACACTTACATATATGCAGGCAATACACTCATGCTCATGCACATAAAATAAAAATAAATATTTTTTATCTTGAAATTGTTATAGAGTATTAGGAAATTGTAAAAATAATACAGAGATGCACCTTTCAGTCAGTTTTCCCCAAAAGTAACTTGAAAATTACCATTAGTACAGTCCATTATTTAGATCTAATTAAAACGTTGTTGTCTTTTGAAAATGAATTATCAATCTGCAGTTCCAAATGTTAGAGCTACATTATTTCTGTTTTACCATGTTAAAATGTTCTGTACATGATGCATCATGCTAGATAACAGGGAAAAAGACAAAGCTCAGGGATAATGATACTCGTTTAGAGGGACTTTCAAGATAAGTAATCTGAAGAAAATAATCAAGTGAGCAAAGAACCATGCCCAGGAGATCAGAGAGGAAATCCCACTTATAGGTCATTGCATAGGGATGTTTGTAATCCCAACGCTCTGGATGCCAGTGCAGGAAGACCAAGAGTTTGAACGCAGGACTGGGAAAATGGCTCGATGGGTAAAGGCGCTCAGTGACAAGACTGACAATCTGAGCTCTTTCTCTGGGACCCACATAGTAGAAGGAGAGAACCAACTCTTGAAAGTTATCCTCTGACTCTACATATCTACCATGGTGCATGTGTTCTCCCCCCACCCCCAGTCAATAAATAAATGTAGTTTTTTGGGTGGGTTTGTTGTTTTTTGTTGTTGTTGTTGTTGTTGTTGTTGTTTGAGGCAGCGGCTCCCTGTAGCCCAAGCTGGCCTGGAACTCACAGAGATCCACCTGCCTCTGCCTCCCAAGTGCTGGGATTAAAAGCTTGTGCCACCACACCCAGCCTATAAATGTAAGGGGGTTTTTTTCATTATTTTTATTTTTTACTTGTATGAGTATATTGCCTGCTTGTGTGTAAGTGCACCCGTGTCCTGCAATGCCGAGGAGGCCAGAAGAGGGCATCAGATCCCCTGGAACTAGAATTATGGACAGTTATTAGCCTCCATCTGGGTGCTGGGAACCAAACCTGGGTCCTCTGCAAGAGCAGCCAGTGCTCTTAAACACTGAGCCATCTCTCCAGCCCTAAATATAGTTTCTTGTTGGTTTTTTTTTTTTTAATTTTATTTATTAGTTTTATTTCATGCATATGAGTGTTATGCCTGCATGTAGGTAAATGCACTCATGTTGTGCAATGCCCAAGGAAGACAGAAGAGGCTGTCGGATCCCCTGGAACTGGAGTTACAGACAGTGGTTAGCTGCCATGTGGGTGCTGGGATTCGAACCTGGGTCTTTTGCAAGAACAGTCAGTGTTCTTAACCAGCAAGAAATTTGAAGCCAACCTGTACTACATAGTAAAACCCCATCTTTAAAAATAATTAACAAAGGGACTATAGAGATGGCTCAGCAGTTAAGAGTACTGGCTGTTCTTGCAGAGGAATTGGATTCGAGTCCCAGCACTCACATGGCAGTTAGCAACCATCCATAATCCCAGTTCAAGGAGATCCGATGCCCTCTTCTGTTCTCCAAGGGCATTGACGGCACAGGTGCACCTACATACATATACAGGCATGACACTCATACACATAAAAAATAAAAATAAGCCGGGCGTGGTAGTGCACGCCTGTAGTCCCAGCACTTGGGAGGCAGGGGCAGGCAAATCTCTTTGAGTTCAAGGCCAGCCTGGTCTACATAGCCAGTTCCAGGCCAGCTGGGCCTACAAAGAAGCCGGGCGTGGTGGCACACGCTTTAATCCCAGCACTCAGGAGGCAGAGGCAGGACCCACCACACTTAAATTCATTGATTATAATGGTAATTATATAATTAATAGAATAGTATTGTTTTCATTTGAAACTTTGTTAGAAGTATTACAGTTCCATAATTTACGCATACATAATCTTACATATAAATATCACAAAGGAACTATGTGTACATTTACAAGTATCAAATTATAGTAAAGCTATTTGAGGATTTTTTTTTTTTTAATGTGTATGTGTGTATTGCCTGCATGTAGGTAAGTGCACCCATGTCATGCAAAGCCCACAGAGGTCAGAAGAGGCTGTCAGATCCCCTGGAACTGGAGTTACAGACAGTTGTTAGCTGCCATGTGGGTGCTGGGATTCGAACCGAGGTCTTCTGCAAGAACAACCAGTGTTCTTAACTGCTGAGCCATCTCTCCAGCCCCAAGGATTTTTTTCCATTCTGAAATATTTATATAAACTAGACTAATACATCCTTTCTGTAACTTTGTTTTATCAAAAATCTTTCACTGCAAGTACATAAATTTAAAAAGTTTATCTGGGGACTGGGGTGATGCCTCAATGGATGAGAGCTCTTGCTGTGAAAACAAGAGAACCTGAGCTCATGTCCGCAGTGTCAATGTAAAAGATGGGCACTGCTATGCATGAGTGTAACCCCAGTATTATGGGGCAGAAACGGGAAAATCCTGGGAGCTGACTGGTCAGGTCAAAACATTGATCTTCAAGTTCATTGGGAGACCCTACTTCAAAACATAAGTGGAAGATTTTCAAAGCAGCAGAGGAAGACACCCAGTACCCTCTTCTGGGTTCCTCGTACTCAAACACAGACATGTGCACAGGCAGGTAACATATACACACAAAAGGTTAATTGGCTACGATATTCTCTGCCTATTGCATGGTAGAGAATATGATACATCTCTACTAATTGTTCCTTAGCTGTTTAGAGCTTTTCAATCAGAAGTTAAGAAGCTTAATTCTGTAAATCTTAATAGTTTGTTCATGTTAATATGCCTAGTCATATTCAGAAAGAGATAAAGTTAATATATCTCTTAAATGTTGTTAAAATACCCTACAGAATTTTTGTTTTACTGTTACTACTACAAATTTACATAAAGACTTTAATGTCAGATGTTATTTTTCTTCAAATGTTTGTTTTTAATATTTTATTACTTTTATTTTTATGTGTATTAGTATATTGCCTACATGTATTTAAGTATACCCATATCATGCAGTACCCCCAGCGATCAGAAGAGGGCATCAGATCCCCTGGAACTGGAGTTACAAACAGTTGTTAGCCACCATGTGGATGCTGGGAACTGTACCCAGGTTCTCTGCAAGAGCAACTAGTGCTTTTAACCACTGAGCTGTCTCTCTAGCCCCCATGTTTTTGTTTTTTAAATGCTGGGTTTTTTTGGTCTTTTTGAGACAGTGTCTCCCTATAGTCCCAATTGGCCTAGAACTCACTATGTAGACCAGGCTGGCCTTGAACTCACAGAGATCCACCTGCCTCTGTGTCCTAAATGCTGGGATTAAAGACATACACCACCATACCCTGCAAAAAAACTTTTTTCTTAAACCAGGCTTTGTGGCACATGCCTGTCTATAATCCCAGGAGACTGGAGCAGGAAGACTGTGAGTTCAAGGCCAGCCTGGAACACATATTGAGACCCTGTCTCAAAAAGAAAGAAAAAGGGGGGAGAAAAAAGTTTTCCTTTAGCATTTATGTGGTTATTGTGCTAAGAATTAACCTGTTAAAGAAAATTCTGTTTTTTTCTTCACTTTCAGACAAGGGGGGCTGCTTTTTTCATTATTGCTGTAATCTGTTTGTTGCTTTTCGACAATGATGATCTCATGGCTAAGATGGCTGAACACCGTATCCTTTTGCAGTAAATGGGGTTGTTTAATGTCTTTAAGAAAAATAGGCTGGCGGAATGGGGAAAGGAGAAATTAATGAATTAAACTGATCAATCATGAATGAAGCTTTCCTGAATTAGTATAGGCAAAAATTTATTAATTTTATTATGTATCCATGCATGTGTGCCTGTGTGAGATGTGCACCACATGTACGCAGGTGCTTATGGAGACCAGAGGATAGGCATTGGATCTCCCAGAGCCAGAGTTATAAGCAGTTGTGAGCCACCTGATGTGGGTGCTGGGAATTGAACCTGGGTCCTCTGGAAGAGCAGTACATATGCTTAACCTCTGGGCCAGCTCTCCAGCCCTCTAAATTATTCTTGCCACTCTCTCTCATGTAAGCCCAACCTTCCAGTCAAATGGATGTACTCCCTCTACACACTTTCCCTGTCCACACACTATGTCCACTCTATTCAACAGTACTCAAAGCACCAATTTCCTTCTGGTTATTGATACTTAGTGCGCTAAGGTTTGTTAGTAAACTGATAGTAATTTACTTTGTTACAATCGGGGAGCAGAACTTTGAAAGAGCTCCAAGTTGTTTATTACATAAGATCTGTTCCCTACATACCCTCTTCTGTTTACCACTTACTTTGCTGAGACCTGGGCAGTTAGTCATGTAGAGAAGACTAGTTCAAGACTGACCTTAACTAAACTATTACTCTAAAAGTGTAACCTTAATTCCATTGAACAGTAGTCCAAGGAGATTCCTTGCTCGTACTCCTTTGTCCTATTTATAGTTCCTATGATTATGTCTTTTGGAGGCCAAGTACCAACATTTAGCACTATGTCTTAGGCACAACTGTAATTGGAGACAACAGTAGAAGCACAGAAACCAGGCATGGTAGCACACACTTAGGATCCTGTCACTTGGGACACAGAGGCAGGAGTTCAAGAATGTTTAGCTGTGTTTTGAGACCCTGTCTCAAAAAGAAATTTTTAAAGAAGAAAAAGAATCACAGACCATTCCAATTTCTAAATTATTTTCCATGATTAAAGTTGGGTTGTTTTCAAGAATGATATGTTATTGGGACTGGAGAGATGGTTTAGAGGTTAAGAACACATACTGCTCGTCCCCTGAGTCCATTTCCCAGCACCGTCAGGGGGCTCACAGGGTCTTTAACTCCAGTTCCAAGGGAATCCAGTGCCTCTGGTTCCTGTGAGCACTTGTACTCATGTGCACATAGCTACACATATATAATTTTAAGTGATAAAAGTAAATCTTTAAAAGAAAAAAAGAATATTTTACTGAGGGTAGTCAAATTTGGGCACCTAGACCATTCTGTATTCAACCAAAACAAAGTAAAATTTAACAGGACTTTAGCTTTTAAAGTTAGTATTTTCCACTTTTTCCTTTACTCCAGTTCCCTTAGCGGAAGGACATCATGACAGTGCTCTAACTCACATGCTTTACACAGCTATTGCCTTCTTAGGTGTGGCAGATCACAAGGTGTGTGAAGGAAAAGAACTTTTCCTTTTTTGGGAAGCTATCAAACCTTTCTAAAACAGTCACAGCAGCTATAACTTAAAAAAGTGGAGGGGAGGGGAATGGAGGATGAGGGTGGGGTGAGAAGGGTCTTATGTAGCCCAAGCTGTTCTGGAACTTGATACTTAGCTAAAGATGACCTTGAACTCTTGATCCTCCTGCCTCTACCTCCCTAGTGCTGGAATTTGGCATGTGCCAATTTATAGTTTCTTAATTGCACATAAACAGGTGTGATGGCACATGCCTTTATTAGGAGGCTAATGCAAGAGTATCTCCAAAGCCAGCCTGGGCTATATAGACAAAGTTTTTAAGTGTTTTTAAAATAATGTATCAGAATGTGATTGTTTCTTAGTCTGTTCAAATGTAATGGTAGAAATGCTTGCCTTTCATGGGCAGGGACCTGGGCTAAATCCCTAGCACTGTAAAATAATATTAAAATTATATTGGTAGCTTACAGTATTGTCTGCCGTTTAAATAGTTACACAAATGAGAATATGGGAGGAGTGAGGAACTAGTTTCATTTTTTCAAGTACATATTCAGAAATTGAATATGGGACTGTATTTGTTTAATGAGATTTCTCTAATTTCACTCATAGGGTGGAGTACTCTTGCTAGTGCTGGCTTTATGTTGTAAAGTTGGTTTTCATACAGCTTCCAGAAAGCTTGCTATAGATGTTGGTGGAGCTAAACGTCTTCAAGCCTTGTCCCAGCTTGTTTCTGTGCTTCTCTTGAGCCCATGGGTGGTCGTTCTCTCTGTGACAACTGAGGTAAGAACAAGGTGTTTTTGATAGTAAAATGAATTGCTGTTATAAATTTCAGTTCTGAACATTTTATTTAGAGGTTAATAGTGGCTTAAATTATCCGTGCTTTTTCTTTATTTTTTTAGAGTTAATTTTATTATTTATAAAAATTTAAGTCAAGGGGCTGGAGAGATGGCTCAGCAGTTAAGAACGCTAGCTGTTCTTGCAGAAGATCCGGGTTCAAATCCCAGCACCCACATGGCAGCTAACAACTGTCCATAACTCCAGTTCCAGGGGATCCGACAGCCTCTTCTGTCCTCCATGGGCATTGCACGACACCGGTGCACTTACTTACATGCGGGCATAACACTCATACACATAAAATAAAAATAATAATTTTTTTTTCTTTAAGTCAAACATTATTACATTTATATGCTCTTCACATTCTTATCACCTGAAGACTCAGGTGAAGAAATACCAATTAGTCTTGGGCTTGGGGATTAAGTTGCTTAGTATTTATAAAATTAAATGATAATGGGTTTTTTTTTTTTTATTGTTACTAATACCTTGGAGAATGCTGAGAAAATGTACCAATATCATAACTCTTACATGTTGGTATTTTGTGAATTAAATCATGAGACTATTTGCTCATACATAAAAATATTAACAAAAACACCTTGTAAAATATGGTTTACCCCCATATAGTGTTGATTCTGTGTTGTTTTGTTTTTAATTTCTAGAGTAAAGTTGAGTCTTGGTTCTCTCTCATTATGCCTTTCACCACGGTTATCTTTTTTGTCATGATCCTGGATTTCTATATGGATTCCATTTGTTCAGTCAAAATGGACATTTCCAAATGTGCCCGCTATGGATCCTTTCCCATTTTTATTAGTGCTCTACTTTTTGGGAATTTTTGGACGCATCCAATAACAGAGCAGCTTCGGGCTATGAACAGAGCAGCACACCAGGAGAGCACTGAGCACGTCCTGTCTGGAGGAGTGGTAGTGAGTGCTGTGTTCTTCATTTTGTGTAAGCATTTCCTCTTATTTTTATTTTCATCAGTATATTTATGGGTTCTAATATTCAAAATGATTTTAGGAATAGTTTGGTGCTGGTACTTTCGTACTTGTTCACAGTCACCATGTTGGTTTTTGGTAACTTAAAGGTTTTTTTGTAAGATGTGTAATATTCTTTTTCTTTCTTTCTTTGTAGCTGCCAACATCTTATCATCTCCCTCTAAGAGAGGACAGAAAGGTACCCTTATTGGATATTCTCCTGAAGGAACACCTCTTTATCACTTCATGGGTGATGCTTTTCAGCATAGCTCTCAGTCGGTCCCTAGGTTTATTAAGGAATCACTAAAACAGATTCTTGAGGAGAGTGATTCTAGGCAGATCTTTTACTTCTTGTGCTTAAATCTGGTAAGATTTTTAAATATTAGTGATATAACTTAAAAGCTCAAATTTTTTTTGATACGATGGTGTAATTTTAGTACTTGCCTAATTTCTGACAAAAACGGGCTAAAATACACACTTTTCTCTAATCAGTAGCAAGGATCATATTCAAACTAGACAGTTTTTGCAGTGTGGTGGAAACACAGGTTTAGTATGCTGTTTTAAATCACTACTATAGTAGCTTTTAAGAGGTAGAGTCACCTCTATAGGATGTCAGTACAGACCACTGATGGCTAACCTTTTAGAGCCTTGTTTGTTGGTTTTTATGGACATACAAATGAAACTGTATATTCTAGTTTATAAAGTAGATATACCTGATTTAGCTCAGTTCCTTACCTATGTAAAATAAGGTTTCTGCTATAAGTGACAATTAGATAGAGAAGTAGAATTTTAAGCATACATAGAAGATTTAGATAATTAAAGGTTAAATTCTGTGATTAGATTGTGATAATTCTCTGTTGAAACACATTTGCCAGCATACTCCTCCCATAATTTTCTTAACCTCTTTTTAGCTTTTTACCTTTGTGGAATTGTTCTATGGAGTGTTGACCAATAGTCTAGGCCTGATCTCGGATGGCTTTCACATGCTCTTTGACTGCTCGGCTTTGGTCATGGGACTTTTTGCTGCCCTAATGAGTCGATGGAAAGCAACCCGAATTTTCAACTATGGGTAGGTATGCTGTCAAGGTACTCTAGTACATTTAGTACAGTGAAAAATCTTCAGTGCAGATTCTGTCTTCGGACATAGTACAGTTACTTACAATACAGATTGTTTTCAGGTCTTCATTTTTCTTTCATTTGAAGTTGATAAGGGAATATGAGCTACACATTTGATAAGACTAGATGGTTTGCATTTTTGTCCAGCATGTTTCTTTGAGGCAGTAGAATATGCACAGTCATTCATATCTTATCTCTTAAAAAGAGTTCCAAATTTGAAGTGGCTGTGTATGAAAATATCCTCTCATTAAGCAAATAATTCAACAAATGTCAGAGTCCCCTTCCTTTGCAAGATATTTTACCAAAACCTTTTTCTGAATACATTCAGCCCCTATTTTCAATTGTGTATATTTTGGAAGATGAACAAAATACATTAATAATTTTGGTACAAGCAGAATCTGTATGCCACGACAAAGATGCAGAGTCTGTGTGCCGTGACAGATACAGAGCATAGCAAGGGTTTAGAGAAAGAAATAATTTATTGGTAAGAAATTAGACAAGGCTTTTTTGTAAGATCAACACAAAAGAAGGGCTTTGTTTGTATAAAATTGCAACAAATAAAGCCTGGCATGATGGCACATGCCTTTAGTCCCAGCACTCAGGAGGCAGAGGCAAGGAGATCTCTTGAGTTTGAGGCCAGTCAGCTCTATATAGCAAGTTCCAGGCCAGCTGGGGCTACAAGGCCTGTCTAAAAAAGACAAAAAAAACAAAAAAAATTTCAACAAATATATATATGAGCTGATTTTTAAATGTTGATAATTTTCCATTGTTATTTAGTAGTGTGAAAACCTGGACTTATCCCCCCACCCCCAATAATGTTTATTCTTTAAAAATACTGTCATTTTTCTTTTCTAAAGAATTTTCTGTGTTTTTAGGTATGGCCGAATAGAAATACTCTCTGGATTTATTAATGGACTTTTTCTAATAGTGATAGCCTTTTTTGTGTTTATGGAATCAGTGGCTAGATTGATTGATCCTCCGGAATTAGACACAAACATGTTGACAGTAAGTCTTTTTCTTTCCTGTTTGAGCCTCTACTCAAGCTTAACACAGCTTTTCCATACCAAGGGTTAATGACTCGTAGTCATTGAGCTAAAAAAGTTGCATATTATTTTTGTTTAAATCCATTCTTGCTACATGGCCCCCCTTATCCATGGTTTCACTTTCTGCAGTTTTGGGTACCTGTAGTTTTAACATGGTCTGAAAATATTAAATGAAATATTTCATAAATGATTCTAAACAATTTTTTTTTTTTTTGTCTTTTTTGAGACAGGGTCTCCCTGTAGCCCCAGGTGTACTGGAACTCACTATGTAGACCAGGCTGGCCTCAAACTCACAGAGATCCACCCGCCTCTGCCTCCCAAGTGCTGGGCAAGTCTAAATAATTTTTAAGCTGAGTGTGCCTTTCACCCCAGCACACCAGAGATAGATAGACTCAGAAAGAGCAGGAGTTCAAAGCTAGTTTACTACATAGCAAGTTTAAGGCTAGCCTGGACTACATGAGACCCTGTCTCAAAAAAACATTTTTTATTCTATTACATAAATATTTTGTTATTTATTTATTGTTATAATGGTTTTATTATTGTTGTTAAGCTCCTACTCTGCCTAATTTATGAATTAAACTTTATCATAGGTGTAGGAAAAACAGTATATATGAGTTTGGTACTATCCATGACTTCACGCATGCATTGAAGTCTTGAAACATGCTCCAAAGGTAATGAAAGGCTGTATTTACATAATTACTGCAGACTCTTAAAAATTAATTATTTTCTTAATACCTTAGACAACATATTAGGATATATTATAAAACATTCAGGTTTCTTTATGACTTAAACAAAGTTCTTGTCTCAAGATTCTATTTTTTAAATACCTGAGGGCATCTGCACAATGTTAGTAATAAAATCAGAAAAGAATTGAAATCTTAAAAGGTTTTACTGCATACTTTGTATCACTCTTTATAGCAACCTCAGATACCTGCCTGACCATGGAAAGCAAGCTAATAATAATGGCTGACTTCTTAGCCTGTATATCTTCCTTGGCTTTGATCTCAGTCTCAGTTTTTGAACACCTAGAAGACCAGTTCCACCACTCTTGAAGATGAATTTTAATTCTAACTTTATAATTTCCCTCGGGTATCGAAGGCACCAAGCCCAGATCCTGATTAAAGAAAAGTTCCAAGAAGGTCTTACGGTGACTATCTACCAAGTGGAGATTTCTCTCAACCTCCCAGAAGCAAGCCCCCATTGGCTTGGGGAGTTTGGGAAGGAGTCCCTCATAATGGAGATACTTCTTAACCTTCCCAAAGGGAGACCCTGAAAACTGCGTGTCTGGTATCAGTGAAACCTAGAAGGCTGGGGGGAAGAGAGATGTTCAACGTGGAAATATCGCAACCTCCCAAAAGAAGTCCTTCCAGGTGTCTTGTATCCCCAACCATGAATGTCTTTTCAGAGCAGCACCACTGCCTTACAGCAGTCAAATGAATGAATGAACAAATGAATAAAAGAAAGAAAAACCTCCTGAACACCCATAGCTTTCTTGTTCACAAGAGTTGGTTCTCTGATGTGTATCATAGTTGATTAGGCAGGTCCCACCTGGGATACCAAATCTTCTGTCAGCTCTTGTGCCTAAACTGGGTCCTTTTTTCCCTCTTGGAATTCTAGAACCAGTCACAAGGTAGGGCACCAACTGAGCACCGAAGGAGAGGCTTTTATTCTTAGCTAAAAATTGGAGTAGTGAGAGATATACTCACATAGCTCAACTTCCCCAAGCATCAAACTTTTGTTTTGTTTGTTGGGGGTTGTTGTTGTTGTTGTTTTGCATCTAATCCTTGTGGGTAAATTTTCATTGGGTTTTGTTTGGGTACAGGGGAGTTTTGAGACAGGGTCTCTCCTAAATCCAGGCTGACCTGGAACTCTTGATGTTCTTGCTTTAACCTCCCAAATTCTGGGATTACAGATGTGGGCCACTATGCCAAGCTGTTGAGGGCAGCCTTTAGGGGACCTTTATTTTCTACATTTTTTTTCCTGGTGAATGTGTAAACATGAAGTATCTCAGTAAGGAAAAAGAGTATTTATGGGATTATGAAATTTCTATAAGCAGTATTTGGTTTCATTCAAACTCTTTAACTACATACAAGCTTATAAAACTAACTGAATTTAGCCAGGCACGCCTTTAGTCCCAGCACTTGGGAGGCTGAGGCTGGCAGATCTCTGTGAGTTTAAGGCCAGCCTGGTTTACATAGTGAGTTCTAGGACAGCTTGGGGCTACAGGGAGACCTTGTTTCAAAAAAAAAAATCTAATTGAATTTTTTTTAATCCGTCAAATTGAGTCACAGGAAGAAGTAAATAAGCTCCATACATGTTTACAAAAGTAAATCTCTCTTCTTACTGTCTTAAAACCCAGTTAAAGGACTGGAGAGATGGCTCAGTGGTTAAGAACACTGGCTGCTCTTGCAAAAGACCCAAATTTGAATCCTAGCACTCACATGGCGGCTAACAACTGTCCCTTTTCTGTCCTCTACAGGCATAGCACTCTTCTGTCTCTACACAGGTACACTTAAATATATGCATGCTTAACACTCATACACATAAAATGAAAATAAATCATTCGGGGCTGGAGAGATGGCTCAGCAGTTAAGAGCGCTGACTGCTCTTGCAGAAGACCGGGTTTGATTCCCAGCATCCACATGGTAGCTACGAACTGTCCTTAACTCCAGTTCCAGGGGAATCTGAAGCCCTCTTCTGACCTCCGTGGCATTGCACGACACGGGTGCAATCACATACATGCAGGCAATACACTCATACACATAAAAAATAATAAATAAATCAAAAAAATTTTTTTAACTAGTTAAAATATTGGAACTAGAGAGAGAGTTCAGCAGTTAAGAGCACTGGCTGCTCTTTCAGGGGACCTGGGTTTGGTTCCCAGCACCAACATAGTGAACGGTCCATAACCCCAGTTCAGGGGATCCAACCTCTTTTGGCCGTTAAGTGCTCATGGTGCACTTATATACATGCAGGAAAATACTCATGCACACAACATAAAAAGAAAAATAGTTAAAATAGTTTCTTAATTTTTCTTTATAAAGCATGAATTTCTCTAAGAAAAGGAAAACAATTGTAGGTATATGTAAATTAAATAATATCCCAGTTACTATTCAAAATAATTCCCTAGGCACATGCCTGTAGTCCCAGCACTTGGGAGACAGACAGGTGGATCTCTGTGAGTTCAAGGCCAGCCTGGTCTACATAGTTCCAGGCCAGCTGGGCTACAGGGAAACCCTGTTTCAAAAAAAATAATTTCCTAAGCAAAGATCATCAAGAGCAACTTTATTTACTTTTTGGAGCATTTTTATGACACTATTAAAACAACTTCATTTTGTTTTAAAAATTGAGAGATTACTACTGTATATTTACTTTTTCATTGTACCTTTCTTTGGAAAATTACAGTAAAGTACAGTAAGCTGGGTGTGGTGGTGCCTGCCTATAACCCTAGCACAGGTGAAGACAGGGAAGAGCAGGGATTTTGAGGTTAGCCTAGGCTACATGATACCCTGTCGCAAAAACAAAGGAACCAGGCATGTGATACATGCATTTAATCCCTGCACTCCAGGGGCAGGGGCAGGGCAGGAGCTCTGTAAATTTGAGACCGGTCTGGTCTATGTAGCAAGTGCTACATAGTGAGACCATGTCACCAAAAACAAAAAACAGGAAGGAAAGAAAGAAAAGCACAGTGAGAGTAGTTGAAATCTGCTAGTAAGTTATAGTTGGCATGTAAGCTGTTAACTTAGTATAAATAAAATTGCAGGTACGGTATATACTTGGACCAGTGAATAGTACTTTCCAAGTCTTTAAATAAGCAAAACCAGGGGCTGGAGAGAGGGCTCAGCGGTTAAGAGCACTGACTGCTCTTGCAGAGGACTTGGGTTCAGTTCCCAGCACCCACATGGTAGCTACAAACCATCCTTAACTCCAGTTCCAGGGGAATCCAAAGCCCTCTTCTGACTTCCACAGCATTGCAGGACACGGGTGCTCTCACATACATGCAGGCAATACACTCATACATGTAAAAAAAAAAAAAAATAAGCAAAACCAAACTGTACCACTTAAAAACTGTAAACAAAAATATATGGCTAAATAATAACTTTTATGTGGCAAGTTTTTTTCTGAGTTACAAAATTAAAGATTTGTCTCTTTTTCCTAGCCAGTCTCAGTTGGAGGGCTGCTAGTAAACCTTATCGGAATCTGTGCCTTCAGCCATGCCCATAGCCATGGTCACGGAGCTTCTCATGGAAGCTATCACTCATCTGATCATGGCCATTCTCACCACACACATGGACACAGTGATCATGGTCACGGTCACAGCCACGGATTCACAGGTGGAGGCATGAATGCTAACATGAGGGGTGAGTCTGTGAAATACTGTCCTGCCTTCCAGCTCTGTGCTGAGTTGATCCTCTTGTTTTTATTGAATACTGGCCTTCTGGTACAATTTTATTTTAAACAACGTGTGGTGGCGCACACCTTTAACCCCAGCACTCAGGAGGCAGAGACAGGTGGCGCTCTATGAGATTGAGGCCACCCTGGGCTACATGGTAAGTTCAGGCTAGAGCTATGGGGAGACCCTGTCATAAAAAGGCAACATGTGATTCTAAAAGATCTGAATTATGTTATGGAGAAAATGCCTGTGTTTGTATAAGTAAAATGAATTGTCATTCAGCATTTTTTTTTTTAATGTGTATGTGTGCATTGCCTGCATATAGGTAAGCAAACCCGTGCCACGCAATGCCCACAGATGTCAGAAGAGGCTGTCAGATCCCCTGGAACTGGAGTTATGGACAGTTGTTAGCACCATGTAGGTGCTGAGATTCGAACCCTGGTCTTCTGCAAAAACAACCACTGTTCTTAACCGCTGAGCCATCTCTCCAGCCCCTCAGCATTTATTTTTTTAAAGGAGAGGGCTAGGAATATAGCTGAGCAGTAGAGTGCCTGCCTAGTATGCTCAAGGCTCCCCAGAACTGAGAGGGATGCAGGCCTGTATGCAACAATATGGATAAACTTTGACATTTTGCTAAGTGAAATGAACCCATCACAGAAAGCCACTTACTACATGATTCTATGTATATGAGATGAAATTCATAGACTCAAAGCATAGAATAGTAACTAGGGAGACGGGGAAAAGGAAATACCTGGTCAATAGGTCTGAAGTTTCAGTTGATGAATAGTTGTGAAGGTCAGCTATGAAGCATTGTACTTCCCTTGCAACAGTGGTGTATTTTGACATTAAAAAAAATTGGGTAGGAGAAGAGATCTTGTGTTAAGTGTTCATTCCACAATAAAGTGGATTTAGTGGATATTTTTTTTTTAATGAAAATAAAGGGGCTAGAGCTATAGCTAAGTGGTATAGCATTTGCCTAGTATACATGAGGCCTTTGTCCATCAGCACCACAAAAACAAAAAAAGGATGCATTTGTTTATAAATGTCTGTGTTTAAATAAATTACTGTAATTATTCAGGGTCTTTTTCATAGTTACAGTGAATATTTTGGCTGAAAGGGAAACACTGAGTGTACCATTATAAACTTGCATGACTGACATAACAGGGAATCTTTATTGTTCTGTAAAAATAATTGGGGTATAATTAGCTCTCTTGTCAAATTGTTTGTACTAATTGCTTAATATAAGTAATTTGGGTAATGTCAAAACTCGGCTGGGGGGCAGGGGGGCTAGTAAGATGACTGACTGACTGGGTAAAAGTGCTTGCTGCCCAACGGTATAATCCTGGAAACCTGAGTTCATTCTCTGGAATTCATGTAAAGGCTGAAGGAGAGAACCAACTCCACAAAATTGTCCTCTGACAATTCGTGCACCAAGGTACACCCACCCATACATACACATCATATGCACACACAGTAATAATTTTTTTTGAGGTCTCACTATGTGGCCCTAGCTAGACTGGAACTCCCTATGTAGACCAGGTTAGCCTCAAACTGAGAGATTTGCCTGCCTCTGCTTCCCAAGTGCTGGGATGAAAGGTGAGTGCCACCACCACACACAATAATAAATTTCTTTAATTGAAAAAAAAAAACTTGGAGCCAGTCATGCAAGTGCTTTAATATCAGCACTCAAAGCAGAGGCAGAAGGATCTCTGTGAATCCCAGGCCAGCCAAAGCTACATACTGAAACATGACTCAAAAAAAGCAACGGGGTTGGTTGCCTAGAGAGGTGCTCAGTAGTTAGGAGCTGCTTTTGCTAAAAATAATAAGTAAAATTTTTTAAAAGGGGGGAGGCTGGAGAGATGGCTCAGCGGTTAAGAACACTGAATATTCTTACAGAAGACCCGGGTTTGAATCCCAGCACCCACATGGCAGCTAACAACTGTCCATAACTCCAGTCCCAGGGCATCCAGCAGCGTCTTCTGACCTCCGCAGGCATTGCACAACACAGGTGCACTTCTGCATGCAGGCAATACATGCGTGCACATAAAATAAAAATAATAATTTTTTTTTTTTTGGTCTTTTTGAGATAGGGTCTCCCTATAGCCCCAGCTGTCCTGGAACTCACTATGTACACCAGGCTGGCCTTGAACTCACAGAGATCCGCCTGCCTCTGCCTTCTGAGTGCTGGGATTAAAGGCATGCACCACAAATAATTTTTTTTTTTTTAAAGAGCTGCTCTTGCAGAGGACCCAAGTTTGGCCTCTTCAGGCATTGTACAACACAGGTACACTTTATACATGCAAGCAAAACACTCACATATAAAAGTCCAAAAAAAAATTTTTTTAGCTTGGTTCAAGGGTTAAGTACATAACTTAGTGGCAGAGCTCTTGCCTAGTACAGGCAAGGCCCTAGGTTCAGTCCCAAGTAGTGCAAGGGGGATTGGGGGGGTGGGGCTGGGGGGCTTGCTTCAAGCATTATTTTAGGAAGCCATCACAAAGAATACCCTGTTAAAACTTACCACACTGTGTCATCATTGCCAACATGTTTATATTTTTTTGTACTCTTAAGTCTCCTGACAGTACCATGTTTTAGTCACTTTGAAGTGCCTGGTGCCAGCAGGTACTCAGCAATACTGGTAGAAGGGGTAAAAGACATAAATTAGAGGAACCTTAATTTTTAATGTCCTTATATGTTTTATTTGTAGGTGTATTTCTACATGTTTTGGCAGATACACTTGGCAGTATTGGTGTGATTGTATCCACAGTTCTTATAGAGCAGTTTGGATGGTTCATCGCCGATCCCCTTTGTTCTCTTTTCATTGCTGTATTAATATTTCTCAGTGTTGTCCCACTGATTAAAGATGCCTGTCAAGTTTTACTTCTGAGACTACCGCCTGAATATGAAAAAGAACTACATATTGCTTTAGAAAAGGTACTGTTTGTAATTTCCTCACTATTTTTCCTTTTAAAAATGGCATTTACAGGGCTAGAGAAATGGCTCAGCAGTTAAGAGCACTGACCTCTCTTGCAGAGGACCCAGGTTCAATTCCCAGCACCCACATGGTGGCTATGAACCGTCCTGTCCTTAACTCCAGTTCCCAGGGAATCCGAAGCCCTCTTCTGACTTCCGCAGCATTGCACGGCACAGGTGTACTCACATGCATGCAGGCAATATACTCATACATATAAAAAATAAATAATAATAATAAGTAGCATTTGCTGGGCATGGTGGGGCATGTAGGCCATAGGTTCAGTCCCCAGTAATACAGTGAGGTGGGGGGGGAAAGAAGGGTATGGGGAGGAGAGGAGGAGAGAGAAAGGAAAGGAGGAAAAGAAGAAACAAAGTACATAAAACAGGAACTAAATTAATGAAGAGTGGGAAGAGTCCAGTTTGTTTTTGTTTGTTGGGTCTTTTTGAGACAGTCTCCCTTTACCCCCAGCTGACCTGGAACTGTGTAGAACAGGCTGGCCTGGAACTCACCTCTGCCTTCCAGGTGCTGGGATTAAAGACATATACTACCACACCCAGTTTAGAGTCTAGACATGAAGATAATGATTTTCTAATCTTAACTCAGTTGCTTGTCATTAAGATTTTGTTTGGTTTTCTTTTTTTGGATAGATCAGTATTATTTAAAACTTTAGCAGATCCTAATAGTAGATGCCTATAATCTCAGTACTTAGAAGATAGAGGGAGGAGAATTAAGAGTTCAAGGCCAGCCTCTGGTTGGTTATATAGCAAGTTCAAGGCCATCTTGAGCTACATGAGATCCTGTCTCAAAAAAAAAAAAAAAACAAGGACTAGGAAGGTGGTTCTGTCAGTAAAGTGCTTGTCTCATAAGCATGAGGATCTCACATCATTCCCCAGAAACCACATAAAAATGCCAAGAATGATGGTGTCACTCGTAATCCCAGTGCTGAGGAGGTAGGAGGATCAGAATAGTCCAACTGGCAAGCTCCCAGCCAGTGATGAATCCCTGTCTCAAAGGAGGTGGATCCGTTTTTTTTAGGATAATCATGAGGTTGTCCTCTGAACCTGCACATATATGAATGAAAAAAATAAACGTATTTGAAAAAGTGCTTGAGAACTACCAAGAAAGCATACAGAAATATATAGAATTAACTAAGTAATTAGTAGGAGGCTATTTTATGATTATGAGGTTATAGAATTTAGCAGATAAAACTTAAAGAGTTTGTCCTTGCACATAAAAATTTTATTTTTCACCCCACATGGTGGTGCATGCCTTTAAATCCAACACTCAGGAGGCAGAGGCAGGCAGATCTCTGTGAGTTCAAGTCCAGCCTGATCCACATCGTGAGTTTTAGGCCACCTGGGACTAGAAGGAGAGACCCTGTCTCAAAAAAGCCAATAAGAAATCTTTTGTTTTTTCCAGACAGGGTCTTACTATACTTCTGGTTGGCCTGGTATTCACTGTGTAGCTCAGGTGGCCTCAAACTTACTGTTTGGTTTTTTTTGTTGTTGTTTGCTCTTTTTTTTTTTTTTTTTTTTTTTTTTCCTGTGGGAAAACACAAGCCATACTGGACTTGAACTCCATATATATAGCCATGGATGACCTTGAATTTATGATCCTTCTGACTCCACTTCCCAAGTGCTGGGACTGTCCGCATGTACCGCCACACCTGTTTTTTTCCAGGGCTAGAGATTAAACCCAGGATGTCATACATGCTAGGCAAGCATTCTAACAACTAAACTATGTGCCCGTCCCTAAAAAGTTGTTTGTTTTTTTTTTTTATTTTTACACCCACTTCCTAGATAGCACCCTCCCATAGCCTCCCTCCCCCCACTAGAGCCCTTATATTCTGATATCTCTGCTACTGTCTGCTGTATTGTTGGCACCCCCAGCCATTCCCCACTACTTGCCCTTCTGGTGAATCTAGTCAGCCTGTCTAGAGGTCTTTGTTTTAGGAGGGTCAGCTGTTCCTCATCTAGCAGTAATCAGTTGTCAATATTCCTTTGGATAAGATTGGGGTCTGCTGTTCATTTTCCCAGTTTTATGCTGGGTTACTATCTGGGAATCCCTTTGGCCACCCTGGCCAACAACTCAAAAGAAGGTATCGCCTGTCTGGCATTGTTGCTTGTTAAGTAGCCTTTAGCTATACATATGTACTCTTATGAAATTATATTGGCCCCGTAAAAGTATTTTTTTAATTTCAAAAATAATATATATATATATCCATTACTGAGAACTCTAAAGTACAGGAAAATACAAAAACGAAGGGAAAAAAACCACATGAAATTTTACACTTTATAAGTTGTTTTAATACATAAAAATGCTTTGGAAGCAAAAATAAGTTTCATAAATTTTTCTCCACTTAAAAATGGCATATTGAAAACTACATTCTTTTACTTTTTTAGAAACGGGGTCTCATTATGCAGCACTGGTTGGTCTGGAACTCTCTGCGTAGACCAAGCTGACCTCAAATTCAACAGAGATCTGTTTGCCTCATGTGTGATAAGCTTGAAGGCATGCACCACCACCCCTGGCTCTACTACATTTTTTGTTTAATTTTGTTTGGGTTTTTTGAGACAGCATCTTCCTGTTGTCCCAACTCGAAATGTAGACCAGGCCAGCCTGGATCTCACACATACCCACCTAGCTGTGCCTCCCAAGTGCTAGGACTGAAGGTATATATAACACCATGCCAACTTTGAACTACTACTTTTTTTTTTTTTTTTTTTTTTTTTTTCCCTGAGACAGAGTCTCTCTGTAGCCCCAGCTGGCCTGGAATTCACAGAGATCCACCTGCCTCTACCTCCCAAGTGCTAGAATTAAAGGCATGCGCCACCACACCAGTTTTTCTACTATATTTTTAATGACAATGTAATAGTACATTTATTTAGCAATCTTCTGTACTTAATAGTTTATTTAACCAATCCTCTGCTGTTAAAAACTGAGGTTAGGGGCTGGAGAGATGGCTCAGTGGTTAAGAACACTGTCTGCTTTTGGAGAAGACCCAGGTTCAAATCCCAGCACCCACATGGCAGTTAACAGCCCATAACTCCAGTTTCAGGGACTCTGACCCCCTCTTCTGACCTCCTCGGACATTGCACGATATGGGTGCACTTACATATGCGCAGGTAATACATTCACACTCATAAAAATAATAAAATAGTTTTTTTAAAAAAACAGGTTATTGGGGCTAGAGGGAAGCCTCAGCAGTTAAGTCACTGGTTGTTCTTGCAGGGGACCCAGGTTTGATTGCCAGCACCCACATAGAGGCTAACAACCATCTATAACTCCAATTCCAGGGGATCTGATGCCCTCATCTGACCTCAGTGGGCATTGCATGACATGGGTGCACCAACCTACATGCATACACATAAAATAATATTTTTTAAAAAATGAGATTTTTCTCCTTTGTTTGAGACGGGATCTCACTATGTAGACCAAGCTGGCCTCAAACTCAGAGAGTCACCTGCCTCTCCCTCTCGATGAGGTTATCTCTTTTTTTTTGGCCTCCCCAGCTGGCCTGGAACTCACTATGTAGACCAGGCTGGCCTTGAACTCACAGAGCTCTGCCTGCCTCTGCCTCCCAAATGCTGGGACTACAGGTGTGCACCAAATATGTTATCTCTATATAACAATGAAAGAGAGAAAGCCAATGTAAAGGAAACCACATAGTTCATTCACTGTGTCCAGGTAAAGTGTGTGCACTGTCAATAAAGGACAGCTTATTTCAAGGTGTCTCTGTCCTATTCCTTTCCACTTCTCTGGCCTCCCTGTAATGATTCCCAGATTAAGGAGTCCATGTGTTTACTCTAGGATCCATTTATACCACCTCTCCATTTATTTGACAGATACAGAAAATTGAAGGATTGATATCATACCGAGACCCTCACTTTTGGCGTCATTCTGCCAGTATTGTAGCAGGAACAGTTCATATTCAGGTGACATCTGATGTGCTGGAACAAAGAATCGTGCATCAGGTAAATAATCTTTTGTTTCAGTAATTTTGTTTAATATAATTCGTAAAACTGTACACGTCATCAGTAGTCATTGACTCTTCAAAAATATTAGTCTTTGATTGGTCAGTGTTTTTGAAGCAGGGTCTCATGTAGCCCAGGCCTTAAACTCACTATGTAGCCAAGGATGACCTTGTACTCCCGATCCTTCTGCCTCCTCCCGAATACTGAGATTATAGGCAATCACCTATAAAATCAGCATAATTTATTTTTTTTAGTAAATTTAAATTTATATTCAAAATTATAAATTAAGTTTTAGTATTTAGAGGACAGGCTAAGTTAATTGGAAAAAAAGAAAAACCTTTTTGATTTATCTGAGTACACTATCAAGAAATAAGTTAACTGTAAATATAGCTAATGGTAACCATGTTGGTAGAGTAGATGCTGACTGGAGATAGAGATCAAAATAGGTCTTATAGCTATTCGAGTTGTGCCAAATGAGAATATAGCTGTTTTCCTTTCCTACTTTAAAGGTCTGGTAATTTATGACCTCAGTAATTTCATGACCTTCTTACAGATTCTATCTAACATTTTCACTGACTAGTAAATATTTATATATTATAATATGTAAGTTATATATTAATATTTATATATTAATATCAATTGATAGTTTGACACTGTTACTACAAAAAAAAAGGTAATATTGCCAGGCATAATAGCACACACCTTTAGCTGCTCAGAGCACCGTGAAATTGAGGCCAACCTGGTCTACATCATGAGTTCCAAGCCAGCTGGGGCTAAAGGGATACCCTGTCTCAAAAGTAACAATGGCAAAAAAAAGTGACATTAATGATTTCATATGTACTGTCCAAGGCATATTTGCTCACACCTGTAATCCCAATACTCAAGAGGTGAAGGTGGGACTACCTCAAGTTTAATGCCAGCCTGGACTACCATGTGAGTTCTGGCCGGTTTGGGCTATATCACAAAACCCTGTCTCAAAGCTAAAAATGAAAAATGAAGATAAAATATATACTATACTAAATTCTTTAAATTTTATGGATTTTTTTTTTTTTTTAAACAGGTCACAGGAATACTTAAAGATGCTGGAGTAAACAACTTAACAATTCAAGTAGAAAAGGAGGCATACTTCCAACATATGTCTGGCCTAAGTACTGGATTCCATGATGTTCTAGCTATGACAAAACAGATGGAATCCATGAAGTACTGCAAAGATGGAACTTATATCATGTGAGATAACTCAGGAATTACCCCAGGGGTATGAACAGTGAAGATTAAGTGACTCAGTGTCCATGACATTGTCAGAGGAATGAAAATCGCACATAATTGTACAAAAACTTTTAAAGCTCCCTACTGTTGGATCAAGAAGTCTTTTTTTTTTTTAAGAAAATTGAAATGCAAAATGAAGCATTAATTGTAAAAAGAAAACCTGTTGCTCTATTTGAATTATGTGTTTGAAAGAAATCTTAACTGAGTGAACATAATATATCACATCTTTGAAAAAATGGACAAATAATGATGGGCTCTAGTGAAGACCAAAATTTCTTATGTGCATTTACTTTCTATCAGAAAGCATCTCCATTGTAAATATGTATTTACACGTTTATTGCAAAGACCTAAATGAAAAGTTTTTAGTCAATTTTTTGCATAGCCTAAAGACAAAATAGAAATAAAATTCTATATTTATGGATTTTCTGTATATAAAACTGGTTTCTAATTATAACTTAAGACCATTAAGTAAAAACTGTATTGCCACTTTAAATGTAAACTAAATTATTCAGGAGAAACTTCAACCACTGATTTAAGAAAGTCAAAATAGGGAACTACAACATTACAGTTTTGATGTATTACAAGACCAACCACTCTGTTAAATAAATTTTTTTTACTTTTGGTAGTATTTGCAAATGAACAGTAATTTATTAGGGTAAAGAACTTATCCTAAGTTGTGTCCCTGTTACTCGCTGTTATCCTGCTCCAAAGTAGAATGCTCTTGTTTCTGTGTGTGCATCTGGCACTCTTAAGATGCTCATCAAGCTGCTGTTCTTCAGTCCTAGGTTTTCATCATAAATATATTGTGGGACGGGTGAGAGAACCACAAATAATTGTCAATTCAGAGTTGAATTCTCTGCCTGAGGCTATAACATCTTTCTAGTTTCTGGGGAAAAGTACATATGTAAGAAATATCAAAGGGTAATTTTGTTCAAGAGTTAAGTAAAACTTGTACATAGCATTTGGGCACCATGAAATCAGAATTGCTCTATAGTAATATCTGATGCATTTCATTTCCAATTTTAGCTGGATGTGTAATCTAAAAAGATATTAGGGCCGACGTGATGGTGCGCACCTTTAATCCCAGCACTTGGGAGGCAGAGGCAGATGGATCTCTGTGAGTTCAAGGCCAGCCTGGTCTACATAGCGAGTTCCAGGCCAGCTGGGGCTACAGAGAGACCCTGTCTCAAAAAGACAAAAAAAAGAAATTTAAAAAGACATTAGGATAAATAGATCAATATTTGCACTTTTATGAACACCAAAGAATACTGTTCAATACAAATTTTTGAATATTTATAAACATTTGAGTATTTTCATTACAATAGGAATTTTGATAAGTAGGATGTATAGATACTATTTTCCTGTCTATATCATAATGGTAAACATGTATTGTAAATCATATTTTTATCTTACAATTTTAATATATGAAGGGTTTTAGAAATTTGTTGTTAAATTACTTTGATATTCTTTGTCTTCTCTTTGTACATTTTCTGGTCCAGAATCTTCACATATTAAAATCTTGAGTGGTGGGAAAATAACCACATACTACTGCTTTAATGCAGATTTTATACATAAAAACATTTCGCCGGGCGTGGTGGCACACGCCTTTAATCCCAGCACTTGGGAGGCAGAGGCAGGCGGATCTCTGTGAGTTCAAAACCAGCCTGGTCTACATAGTGAGTTCCAGGACAGCTGGGGCTACAGGGAGACCCTGTCTCAAAAAAAAAAAAAAAAATTTCAGCAGATAGTAAGGTACAGTAAATACACCAATGTTAAAACTTTGGAGAGATGGCTCAGTGGTTAAGAACACTGACTGTTCTTACAGAAGACCCAGGTTCGAATCCCAGCACCCACATGGCAACTAACAACTGTCCCGTAACTCCAGTTCCAGGGGATCCGACGGCCTCTTCTTTCCTCTGCCGGCATTGCACGATACAGGTGCACTTACCTACATGCAGGCATAACACTCATACACATAAAAATAATAAAATGTTTAAAAAAAAAAAAAAAACTTTGGGACAGGAGAGATAACTGAGCAGTTGAAAGCACGGGATGCTCTTGGAGAGGACCTGGGCCCAATTCCCAGCACTTTCATTTCCACGATCTCAAGAGACAGCTCAGCAGTTAAGAGCACTTGCTGTTCTTCCAGTGGATCTGAGTTCAAATTTGAGCACCCACATCAGGCATCTCACAACTGCCTGTAACTCCAGGCATTCCAAGGGATTTGATGTCCTCTTTTGGCCTCTGCAAGCACACACACATAAATAATAAATCTTTAAAAAAAAAAAAAAAAAAAATTACTGGGGCTGGAGAGACAGTTCAGTTAAGAGCACTGGCTACTCTTGCAGAGGACCTGGTTTCAGTTCCCAGCACCCATATGGTGGTTAACAGCTGTCCATAACTAGTTCCAGGGGATCAGACGCCCTCTTCTGACTTTTGTAGGCATTGCACTTAACATACATGCAGGTAATACACTCATGCACATAAAATAAAAACAGTAAATATAAAAAAAAACTTTCATTTCCCTTAGAACTTAATATGACTGAATGATGAGGTAAAGAGAGGGCAGGGGTGGAGGTGAGGAGAGGGTAGGCGGGAAGTGGGGAGACTCGAACTGAATGCTTCAGGTAGCTGGTTCCAGGTCAAGACTTCAGTGTCTTTTCTCCATTCATAAAGCTGTTGAAATCTACTTTAAAAGTAGATTTGAGAGCAGAAGGAGTAATGTATGTATGCAGAAATGCATTGATAACTAAATGGCTAAAGTCAAATCCAGGACATTGTCCCTCATCATCAAAATCCCTCTTGCCATATAAAGGAGAACTTTTTTTTTTCTTTTTTTTTTTTTTTTTTTTTTTTTTTTTAGTCAGGGAGGAGGACCTCTTTGGGAGACTCTTCACACCACACGTTCCTTTGGGGCATTTCTGCAAAGGAGGAGGAACTTGATGGAGTCTGGGGAATGTTCTATAATCTTGGTCAGGGTGTACTGGTTACACAGGTGTATACAACTATCAAATGTTTATAATTTAACTTCTACATTATTGCATTTTTCAAGCATTTTTGTAGTTTGCTTGTAATTTATTTAGAAATCTATGTGAGATTCTCCTGTCTTGGGCTCCCAGATGATCACAAGCATGCACAGCACCATATCCAGCAAGGTGTTTTTAAACCTTGTAAAGAGAAGAGGTCATCTGTGGTGTCTGTGCTAGTTAAACAAAGAAAGTAGCATTCTGAAGAGAAATGAGCCTACAGATGTGTACATAGTTGGCAGGATTTTTCAAGCTTGGCATTGCCTGCACCGTTGACATTTGAGGCTAGAGAATTCTGTTTATGTAAAGAGGAGTGGGTAATTTTTTAGCATCTGTGGTCTCCACTAGAAGCCAGTAGCACCATCCTAGTCATAATCATTGAAAATGATTGGATTGGTGAGACAGCAGCAGGTAAAGGTGCTTGCCATCAAGCCTAACAACCTGAGTGTGATCCCCAGGACTTAAGATGGTGGTAGGAGAGAACCGACCCCAGCAACTTCTCCTCTGACCTCTACATATGCTTAGTAATTAAAAGCTCTAACAGAAATTCTCAATAAACCTTGAAAATGCTAAGCAAACCATATTTCTATTTGCTTTTACACAATGAAGAGATGAATCTGTAGTTTACTGAAAATTAAGTCCAAGAAAGAAGGAAATCAAGATTGGGAAGAGGACAGGAAAGTGTAATGGAGAGATCAATATGATCAAAATACATTAGATGCATGTATGAAAATGTCATAAACCCATTATTATATATAGTTAACATGCTAATAAAAATCTCTTTTAAAAGGCCGGCATGGTAGCAGCACTTAGGAGGCAGAGGCTCGAGGATCTCTGAATCTGAAGCCAGCCTGGTCTGTATAGAGTTCAGGCCAGTCAGGGCTACATAGGGAGACCATCTCAAAAAAACAGAGGGAGTGGGGTCTGAGAGATGGCTCAGTTAAGAGCACTGGCTCCTCTTGCAGAGGACCCAATTTGGTTCCCAGCACCCATATCAGGGAGCTCACACCTGCCTGTAATTCTAGTTACAGGGGAACTGGTGCCCTCTTCTAGCCTATGCAAGGGGTACGTGCACACAAAAAGAAAAGAAAATGTTTTAAATCAAGGAAATTACAGAGGTGTGAAAAGTCTTTGTAATTATTTGATAATTCATATTATCAGGCCTAAATTTGAGGAAAAGTATGAAAAAGGAAGGTCAAAACAAACTACAAAGTTTACCACAATTACTAAGAATATTAGTTCTTCCTAAAGAGAGGGACTCATTTTTGTGCTCCTTGCCTCCCACTTTGGGAGGTACTGGGAATTGAATTCAAGATCTCACATATGCTAGGCAAGTACCCTACCACTGAGCTATAGTCCTAAAATCCTTTTTTTTTTTTTTTTTAAGTCATCCCAGCACTCAGGAGGCAGAGGCAGGCAGATCTCTGTGAGTTCGAGGCCAGCCTGGTCTCCATAGTGAATCCAGGACAGCTGGGGCTACAGGGAGACCCTGTCTCAAAATGACCCCCCCAAAAAAAAGTCTTGCTTTGTAGCCCTGGGCGACCTGGGATTCACTATGTAGCTCAGGCCTACCTTGAATTTATGGTGATCCTCCTGCCTCAGCCTCCCAAGTGATGATGCATAAGACATATTTGGTAGAGAACTGTAAAAGAAAAATTGGGGGGGGGGAGAATAGGGTCTCACTATGTAGCCCAGCTAATCTGGAATTCTTTATAAACCAAGTTGGCCTCAAGAAGAGATCTGCCTGCCTCTGCCTCCCAAGTGCTGATATTAAAGGCATGTACCACCACTCCCAGCCTAAGTATTATGGGGTTTGGTGTTTTAGAGACAGGGTCTCACTATGTAGCCCTGGCTGACCTGGAACTCTCCATGTAAACCAGGCTGTCCTCACAGAGATCTGCCTGCCTTTGCCTCCCAAGTGCTGAAATTAAATGCATGTACCACCAAATCAGGCTGGTTTGCTTTGGTTTTGGGTCTTTGTGAGACAGGGTCTCCCTGTAGCCCCAGCTTCCCTGGAACTCACAGAGATTCACCTGCCTCTGCCTCCCAAGTGCTGGGATTAAAGGTGTGCACCACAACACCCAGCTTTCTTAGTATTATTTTTATTTTATGTGTATTAGTGTATTGCCTGTATGTGTGTAAGTTCACCCATGTCAGGCTATGCCTGTGGAGATCAGAAGAGGGTGTCATCCCCTGGAACTGAAGTTAGGGACAGTTGGTAGTCATCAGCTGGGTGCTGGGAATCTAACCGAAGTCCTCGGGAGAATAGCAGGTGCTCTTAGCCACTGAGCCACCTCTCCAGCCCCAGCTTTTATTTTTAATGTGTGTTCACATGCATGTGACTGCCTGTGGAGGCCAGAAGAGGGCTTGAGGTCCCCTAGAGCTGGAGTTACAGGTAGTTGTGAGCTGCCCAGTGTAGTTGCTGGGAACCAAACTTATGTTCTTAAGAGTAGCAAGCTCTCTTAACATCTGAGCCATCTCTCCAGCCCTGTTACCTAGATTATACAAAAAAGTCCAAACTCAACAATAAAATATTCCATCTAAAAACAGCAAAAGAACCACAGAGTGGTGCATGCCTATAACAGCTAATTGAGAGTCTGAGACGGAAGGATAGGTAACTGGAGTTCAGCCTGAGCAATATAGTGAGACCTCCCCTTCTCAAAAAATGCGGCAAAATATTGAACAGTTTCTTTACTAAAGTAGATACACCAGTGATGAATAAGCATATTAAAAACTATTAGGGAATTGCAAATTAAAATTAGTTAAGAGGCTGGAAAGATGGTTTAGTGGTTAAGAGTATTGGCAACTCTTGGAGAGGACCCAGGTTCAGTTCCCAGCACCCCCATAGCTAACAACCGTCGGCAACTCCAGTTCCAGGGAATCCAATGGCCTCAGTGGGCAGTGCACACACATGGTGCAATTTCATACATGCAGGCAAAACTCTCAGACACACAAAATAAAAAGGTTTTAATGAGTTACTTAAAGATAGGGAGAAGGGCTGTGAATACTGTCTTTAGGGAATGACAGAGCCAATGCAGTCATGACTTCACAGGAGTTTGGCTGCCTACAATGGGCCTATCAACAGAAGACTGGGCCTACCAATAGTCAAATCATGGATCAGGAAGGGGCTTATAGGACCCTACCCCTCCTTGCTGAGCTATTACCTATTGGTGGGTTCTAGAGAAGGGACATAACTGTCTTCAGTTGTGTGCCCACTGAGGATCCCATCTCCCATCAGGCTCCAATGAATAATTCCAAACCCATGGTCATACAGATGATCCTGGTTAAATGCAATCGGTCTTGAAGAAAAAACAAAACAAAAACAAAAGAATGTGGGAAGGAGACTTGTAGGGAGAAGGGTAAGGAAATAAGGGTGAAAGATGAACTACAGGACTCTTGTTCATTGCTGATGGGAATGGGAAATGGTAAAGTCGCATGGCATGATGCAGTACAACCAGTTCCCGTGCACAGAAGGCAGAGGTGGGAAGATGGCGGCAAATTTGAGGCCAGCCTGTTCTACACAGAATGTTCCAGGCCAGCCAGCACTGTTTCAAAAGAAAGGCTGCCAGCAGGATACCTCAGTGGTAAAGGTGCCTGCTACTAAGTCTACTGATCTGGGTTTCTGGGTTCCATCCCCAGACCCATGTGATAGAAGAAGAGACCCACTGAGTTCAATTGGGGTTGCTTGCATGAGCATGGGTAGAGGGTTATTTACTGGAGCATGGGCAAGTTTTCAGTGGCTACACCACTTTAAAAAATGGCTGAACAGATGACTCAGTGGTTAAGAGCACACTGCTCTTGCAGAGGACTAGAGTTCAGTTCCCAGTACCCACTTTGGGTGGCTTACAGCTGCCAGTAATTCCATTTCCAGGGGGATCTGACACCTCTGAGTTCTGTGGGCACCTGCACACGTGTACACATACACATACACAAAATAATCTTTTTTTAAAAAAATTACTCCTCGCCAGGAGTGGTGGCGCACGCCTTTAGTCCCAGCACTCAGGAGGCAGAGGCAGGCAGATTTCTGTGAGTTCAAGGCCAGCCTGGTCTATATAGTGAGTTCCAGGACAGCTGGGGCTACAGGGAGACCCTGTCTCAAAAAAGACCAAAAAACAAAAAAATTACTCCTCCTTCCCCAACAACCATTTAACTGCCAACAGTCCCTCAGGGAAAAATAGGGCCCCATACTGGTCTTGTTCAGGTAACCACAGTTGCAGTAAATTGCTGAGTGCAATGGCCATGTTACATAAGTCTTTTTTAAGATTGTGTGTGTGTGTGTGTGTGTGTGTGTGTGTGTGTGCCCTCAGAGGCCAAAGGCATCAGATCTTCCAAGAGCTGGAGTTACAGTTATGACCCACTGGACTGGATGTTGGAAACCAAAATCAGGTCCTCTGCAAGCAATACTTACTCTTAACCTCTGAGCCATCTTCTCTCCGGCCTCAGAAGAGATCTGTTTGCATGCTTCTCCCTATCCTCCAGCACTTACATTCTTTCTGCTGCCTCTTCAATGTTGTTCTCTGAGCCTTGGAAGGGTAATACAAATGCTGCATTTATGACCGAGTTTTTGTTGTTTTGCTTTGGTTTTTTGAGACAAGACCTCATTCTATAGCCAGACTGCCCTTGAAATTGGGGCAATCTTCCTGCCTCAGCCCCCCCTAAATGTTGGGATTACAGGTGTGGTTCACCATGCCTGGCTGATGTGCTGTGTTATTAGTGGGGGAGATTGTGCCTGCATAGGGTAAAATGTTATACTTCTGCACAGTTCTGCTAAAAGCCTAAAATTACTCCTAAAAGTAAAGTCCTAGCCAAGTGTGGTGGCACGTCTTTAATTCTAGCCTCAGCTATATAGAGTATTCCAGACCAGTCTGAGCTGCATGAGATCTTGTCTCAAAACAAAACATGCTTGCACCCAAAATTAAGTCCTGGCTCACAGATAGTATTTGCTTACAAAATGTTAATTTGTATAGCAGTGATTATTACTAGTAGGCTAGGTATATAGCTGAGTTGGTAGTGTTTGCCTAGCATGCATGAAGCCCTGCATTTAATCCCCAGAACCATATTAACCCATATGCGCCTGTAATCCCAGAACTCAGAAGGTAAAGGAGGATCAGAGGTTCGAGGTCATCCTCAGCTAGAGTTCGAGGCCACCCTGTGCTACATGAGAGCGTGCCCCCTCAAATCCTCAGTATTTCTGAGTATTCATATGGAAGAAAAAATTTACTAAGGTTAATAAAGTTGTATTACATATTAGGGATTTTTATTAATAAGATTTTACAAAACTATATTTTGGAGTCATTTTAGGCTTCCAAAAAAATTAAGCAGGAGGTATAGTTTGTTCTTGTAACAAGGGAGAATATGTGGGATGATCTTACTCTGCTTCACTGTAACCATTTTTTATCTGTATCCCATTACTTCATCCTGTAAACTTCAGATATCCACCCCAGAAGGATCAAATGAGACTGTGTCGGTATCCAAGCCTTTTATGAGCTCGAAGACAGTATTGGAACTCCTGTGGAAGAGAAAAATGAGGAACAGTAGACAAGACTAGAGCCCAACTGTTCAGCAGTCTTCTGCAACTGGAGGCTGCGCAGTCATCTTTCAAAGCCATAAGTCATTGTAGGCTAGCCCAGACAACGCACATTCCGCCTCCCAGGTGGGCGGTGCACGCCGCGCAGGTGCCGGAGAGCGCAGGCGCGGAGCCAGACTCGTGAGGGGTGGGCGGGGCCTATGGAAGCATCCTCGCTCTGGCCACGCCTCCTTGGAACATAGTCGCGGGATCGCCCAGGAAACGCATTCTGCGTGAACAGGCAGGCGCCAATGGGCAGCGAGCGAATGCCATGAACGGGCCAATAGGGAGGGAGCGGGCCGGGGTTTAAACCCGAGCCGGGCGGCTGCTCAGGCGTGCTGCAGACGAACGGCTGTTGGTGCTTACGAGGCTGGGCAGCGGGGCCTGGGCTTTTCTGCTTCGGCGCACAGAGCCCCTGCTCTCGAGGACGCCATGGCGCTCCGGGTCACCAGGGTGAGCTGGGGACGGACCCGGCCGCGGTCCCTGCTGGGGAGATGGGGAGGTGGGCCACCCAGGGGTCTGGGGAGGGGTGGAGGGAAAGGTGATTAACTTCTTCGACCTCGGGTTAAGTTCCTGGGGCGGGGGGAATGGAGCATGCACGTAAGACGTGATAGCCCCCGAGTGAGCCCTTCCTCTACATGGAGAGCTGTCTGCTTCCCAGGCTTGCTTGGTCTCCTTTCGGCTGTAAATTCTCGGTGTTTAGGGTTGGCTGGGACTCGTTGAAGAGGGAATTAGGTGAATGTGGAAGATCTGGAAGGAAACTGACACGTCACTGCCGGAGGCCAGACCCTGGAGCCTTCCTTGGCTTTGCTTCAGGGAGCCTCAGTTGTCTTCCACCTTAATTAATTAACCCTTGACTTCCTGCAGCCGCCAGGATCAGCTCTTAACGTGGACTTGCTTCTTTCAGAACACGAAAATTAACGCTGAAAATAAGGTCAAGGCCAGTATGGCAGGCGCCAAGCGTGTACCTCTAACCAGTGTTGCAGCCTGCAAGCCTGGGCTGAGGCCACGTACAGCTCTTGGAGATATTGGTAACAAAGTCAGCGAACAGCTGCAAACCAGGGTGCCTCTAAAAAAGGTAACTATCTTCCTGACCCAGCTTCCCCAGAAGTGCCCACCTTCCAGCTGGGACCCTTGGAGAAACATTGTGTTCTCCCCCTTCCATCCACAGGAAGCCAAAACTTCAGCTACTGGAAAAGTTACTGCTAAAAGACCGCCAAAATCTTTGGAAAAGGTCCGTGTGTGTGAGCCAGAGCTGGAGCCTGAGCCCGCGCCTGAGCCTATAAATGAAGAAGAAAAACTTTCTCCCGAACCTATTTTGGTAAACTTACATATTTTTTCTTTTCCAAGACAGGGTCTCCTTATGTTCCCTTGACTGGCCTGGAGCTCACTGTATAGACCAGGCTGGCCTGGAGCTCAGAGATCAGATGTTTGCTTCTGCCTCCCGAATGCTGGGATTAAAGGCATGCACCACCACGCCTCACTACTTGTTACCTTTTTCTTTTTTTTGAAAATTTTTTTATTATTTTTATTTTGTGTGTATGAGTGTATTGCCTGCATGTAGGTAAGTGCATCCGTGTGGTGCAATGCCTGCGGATGACAAAAGAGGCTGTCCGATCCCCTGGAACTGGAGTTACAGACAGTTGTTAGCTGCCATGTGGGTGCTGGAATTCGAACCCCGGTCATCTGCCAGAACAACCAGTATTCTTAACCTCTGAGCCATCTCTCCAGTCCCTGTTGTTACCATTTTAAAGTTTTTCTTTTTCTTCATTTAACTCTGATGCACACAATAGCTTTTGAATATATAGTAATGATAAAAATATTTATTGTGTGTTCAGCACTTTACATACATTGATATTTATACTCTCTGGGGTGTAGGTATTATATTCTTTTCAGATAATGGCAGCTTCCACTTCTTTTTAAAAACTGTTTTATTTACTTTTATACGTGTGTTAGGCCTGCATGTATGTAAGTGCACCTGGGTTGTGCCATGCCCACAGAGGGCAGAATAGGGTCTCAGGGTTGTTAGCCATGTGGGTGCTGGGTTTCAAACCTGGGTCTTCCACAAGAGCAGCCAGTGCTCTTAACCACTGAGCCATCTATCCAGCCCCAAGATTCTTTAGCTTCCACTTCTTTAATGCTGGGGTGCTGTGACCCACACCAGACACTTTTCATTGCTTCCTGAACCAAACCATTTTGTTGCAGTCTAAGTTCAATCCAGCTCTGTCCAGGATTAACTGAAGGGAATACACAATGTGTTCTTGAATCTTTTACTCTCTAATGTGGCCCCTAAATAGTAAATGTATCAAAGGAGCAAAAGAAAATACAATTCTTTAGAATGCAATTAAGATGAATTAACAACAGTCTAAAAAAAAGGAACTTTTGGTTGGGGCTGTGGTCGTTTCAGTCAGTCAGTCACCAGGTATGAGCCAGGCAGACTGTGCAAGCCTGTTGTCCTAGCACTTCAGCTGAGGCAGGAGGATTGCAAGTTCAAGGCCAGCCTGGTTTACATACACGGCTATCAGCTCAAGTCCCTTTTCAAAACTATTTAGTAATCAGGACAAACTTAATTCACCTGAGTAGTAAAAAGCAGTCTGTTGCCGGGCATGGTGGCACACGCCTTTAATCCCAGCACTTGGGAGGTAGAGGCAGGTGGATTGTTGTGAGTTCAAGGCCAGTCTGGTCTACACAGTGAGCTCCAGGATAGTTGGGGCTACAAGGCGACCCTGTCTCAAAAAAGACAAAAAAAAAAAAAAAAAAACAAGTCTGTTTGGAAATGAAGACTAAAGAGTTGGCATTTGTTTGAATTACCTTCACATGATGCTGATAAATAAATAGCTTCATTGCCTTTATGTGAATATGAATTAGGCTTTAGGTTTCTCCAACCTTTTAATGAGTGTCTATGTGAATGGATTTATGCATATTGTGTCGTAAGTGCCTTCAAACGTTAGAAGAACGTGTTAGATCCCTTGGACCTGGAGTTACAGACATTTGTAAGCTGCCCTATGTGAGTGTTGGGATCTGAACTCTGGTCTTTGTGACAGAATAGCAAGAGCACATTTATTTTGAGACAGGGCTGCTAAGTATCCCTGGCTAGCATGGAATTTGCTATGTAGACTGTACTGGTCTTGAACTCAGTCTCACTGGCCTCTTCCAAGTACTGGGATTAAAGGTATGTATCACCACACCCTACTCTGGTCTTTTTTTTTTAAGTGTTTTGAATATAAGTGCACCCGTATCTGCAGTGCCCACAGAAGCCAGAAGAGGCGTCTGTTGCCCCTGAACCCAGGTCCTCAGCAAGAGTAGGAAGTGCTCTTAACCAATGAGCCATCTCCAGCCCCTAAATATCTCTTGTAATTATGTGTCTGTGGGTATGTGCATGTGAGTATAGTACCCAAGGAGCTAAAAAGAGGGTGTCAGATCTCTTGGAGCTTGGGTTATAGGAAGTTGTGAGCTTGCTCACCTGGCCTGACATGGGTGCCTGAAACCAATTCAGGTCCTCTGCAAGAGCAGCAATTGCTCTTACCTGCCAATCCATCTCTCCAGCCCAACATTTATTTTTGTATTAATCATTTCCCAAAAAAAATTAGAAAAAAATCTGAAGCTACTTTTCCTAAAAGAAAATTAATTACATTTATCCAGAATCATTTGAGTTAATGATACCAGTATTCTGACATTAGTTCCTGAACTGTTGGATGTGCTTGCTTATCTTTGCTGTTTTTTTTCACGAGGTCTATCTTTTTCAAGGTTGATACTCCCTCTCCAAGCCCAATGGAAACATCTGGATGTGCCCCTGCAGAGGACTATCTCTGTCAGGCTTTCTCTGATGTAATTCTTGCAGTGAGTGATGTGGATGCAGAAGATGGAGCTGATCCAAATCTCTGTAGTGAATATGTGAAAGATATATATGCTTATCTCAGACAACTGGAGGTCAGTATTAGTCTGCTGTTACTAACCTGCATCTGGCTTTATTAAGGCCTTTTCTTTGTGTGTATGATTTTTTTTTTTTTTTTTTCCCTTGTTACTTTAGATCCCCTTGCCCAAGCCTTCCCAGTTCTGGGATTAAAGTCATGCACCACTATAAATGCCTATAAAGAGTTTTTCTGTTGATATTTTGAAGCAGGGTCTCTCTGTAGCCTCAGCTGGCCCAAAACTCTATATATAAGCCTGCCTCTATGCCCAAGTACCACCATGCCTGGCTTAAAGATATTTTTTGTTTAATTTTTATTTATTATTTTTATTTTATGTGTATGTGTGTATTGCCTGCATGTAGGTAAATGCACCCGTGTTGTGCAGTGTCAGAGGAGGTCAGAAGAGGCTGTCAGAGCCCCTGCAACTGGAGCTATGGACAGTTGTTAGCTGCTATGTGGGTTCTGGGATTCGAACCTGGGTCTTCTGCAAGAACAACCAGTGTTCCTAACTGCTGAGCCATCTCTCCAGCCCAGCTTAAAAATATTTTTGTCAACAGTGTACATGTGTTGCTTTTTTTTTTTTTTTTTTTGGTCTTTTTGAGACATAGTCTCCCTGTAGCCCCAGCTGTCCTGGAACTCGTTATGTTCCAGACTCACAAAGATCTGCCTCCCAAGTGCTGGGACTACAGGGGTACACCACCATGCCTGGCGTGCAGCATTTCTTAACATGCACTTTGAAATTCTCTTAACACTAGAAATAAAGTCACTAAATAAACCATTCAATGAAGTCTACTTGTCACTTTGAATAAGGAGATTCAGTATTAGATACTGCTATGGCTCTTTTTAAAGTAGACACATATCATATGTAGAAGAGAGTCCCAAACCTTTTGGGTTTAAAAATGAAGCAGGGGGCGCTGGAGAGATGGTTCAGTGGTTAAGAACACTGGCTGCTGTTGCAAAGGAGCCAGGTTCAGTTCCCAACACCCACCTGGTGGCTAACAAACATCCAGAACTCTAGTTCCAGGGGACTCCAACGCCCTCTTCTCATCTCCTCGGGCATTGCACAATACCAGCCTTCTATGGGAAATCTCATAGAAACACACATGCAAGCAATACACTCATACACATAAAATTTAATAAATAATAAAAATATTTTTTAAATAAAAATTAAGCAGGAAGTAAAGATGTAGAAGATGTTGAAAGACTATAGCTTTCCCCAACATGAGGCACTTTTATCAGTATAAATGTGCTTTCAGGAAATTATTTGTACCCAAAGGGAGAACACTCCCAAAACTGAAGTTGGTTTTCTTCACCTTACATGGAAAACTGTTAATGACATTTTCCCTTTCACCTCTTTGTTTTTATTTTATCAGTGTTTTGCCTGTATGGGTATAAGTGTACCACCTGGGTATAATGTCTGCAGAGGCCAGAGAAGGTGTCAGATCCATTGGAACTGGAGTTACAGTTGTTAGCCAACAATATGGGTAGTAGGAACCCATATTGAGAGATGGCTCAACCACTGAGCCATCTCTCTAGTATACACATACCTGTTTCCCTTCTTAAACAAGACATTCTATAATAAATCATGTAATTATCAGATTTACCACCCCAGGCTGGGGATGGTAACACAGGACAGGGCCTTATGCATGTAAGGCAAATGCTTTGCCACTAAACTACATCCTTAGCATTGTCTTATGTTATTACTGATGTCTTCAGTCCCTTCAAGAGTTGATTATTTTCCACTTTTATATGGATTTCAGGGATTGAACTTGGGTCATTGGGCCTTTACCCACCAAGCCATCAACACCGCCCCACCCTGTTTTTCGATCTTTCATATGATTTTATTTTCTCCCTTCAACCATAACAATATGATAATCCAACTTTTGTCTTAACTGATGGGTCTGTAAAAACACAGACTTACCCACCCCACTTAACAGGCAAGGCAAATGCCACTTCTTGAAATGGTCCCATCATGGACCCTCTGGTCATCCAACCTGAGTCACCCTTTTGCCTGGCTTTATCCTGTATTTTCTGACCACTTCAGTGACTCTCATTCCAGACTTTAACTTTTCCATGGCTTCCATGAGTGTGCCATGATTTTCACCTAAAATGTTTCTGACCTTTACTGCATTGCCACCACCTTTGGGACCTTGAGCCTTCTGGTCAGCATTGTCACTCCCAGAGACTGCAACTCCTTTCCCCTTTTTACTCAAAACCACTTTATCCCTTTGGCGACATCTTCTACATTTGCCTTAGAAACCTTCCCCCATTCCTTTGAATATCACTATTTTTACAGGATTCTTTGGCAAGATGTTTTTGTTCAGACCAGCTGTGTGCTTTGGAATTTTCTTAAATACACATTTATGTTCTACACTTGGAGAACTAGATTGGGTGGATAATTAAGCATGTTGGTCCTTAATGTCTTGCTCTTCTACCTGTATTGATGTTTGAAGTTTATACTTTAAAGCAGGAATGTAGTTACACCTGGGTTCCAGCTGATCTGAAATTTACTGGTTACTTTTTCTCCATCACATAGCTCAGCTTCTGTATTTGTCTTCAGTGGAAAGAGCTAATGATATTTCTAAGAAAGTAGGTTGCGGGATGTGAGCCAGCAGTAGTACTAGTAAATTGAATGCCACAATATCAGAAATCTGTCAAACAGGTTCTGTCACACTGTTCTAATGCTTGCTTTCTTATTGATGGACTTGTATGTAGTGAACATGTGAACCTTTGAAACATGTGAAAACTGAAAATTCTGAATACCCCCAGAGCTTTATGTTAGCTAACTGGTCTTTCTGGACATAAACGTTGCATGTAGTGATGCTTCTAAGGATAACTGCCATTTTCTTTTGCAGGAAGAGCAATCAGTTCGACCAAAATACCTTCTGGGTCGTGAAGTCACTGGAAACATGAGAGCTATCCTAATTGACTGGCTAATACAGGTTCAGATGAAATTTAGGTTGCTGCAGGAGACCATGTACATGACTGTTTCCATTATTGATCGGTTCATGCAGGTAAGTGTAATTCAATAATTGAGAGTTCTCCATTCTAAGGTTCTAGCTGAGGTATAGAAACCTTGGGAGAAGGAATTGGGTGCTGAGGATTGAACTTGGGGTCCCACACATGCTGAGCAAGTACCTACCACTGAGTTATATGTCCAGTCTGAAAGTGACCTTTCGAACTAAAATCTGTCTTGGGTGATGAGATATCATTAGTTGAGATATTGCAGAAGTGCTTCTCTTTGTAGACCTGTGTCCTTTGCAAGTTATATTGTTCACCCAGTTGGAATCCCCTTTGCAGAATAACTGTGTGCCCAAGAAGATGCTGCAACTGGTTGGTGTCACTGCCATGTTTATTGCAAGCAAATATGAAGAGATGTACCCTCCAGAAATTGGTGACTTTGCTTTTGTGACAAACAATACTTACACTAAGCACCAGATCAGACAGATGGAAATGAAGATTCTCAGAGTCTTGAACTTCAGTCTGGGGCGCCCTCTGCCTCTGCACTTCCTTCGTAGAGCATCTAAAATTGGAGAGGTATCAATTCCTTAAGAAATTGTTGCTATGATGCATTAGAGAATACTGCTGCTAGCCTATATTAAATAACTACATGGGAGAAGCAGCTGTTTATTTCCAATCAGTCTGCATATAAATGTGATTATAAGACCTATGGGAAATCGCATTTGCATTTTAGTTACAGATTGGGCTGTGTAAGTTATTACTAATGTAAAATTCTCAGAGGCTCAGTGATGTGCGGGTTTTGTTTCAGGTCGATGTTGAGCAACATACTTTGGCTAAATACCTAATGGAGCTAACTATGTTGGACTACGATATGGTGCACTTTCCCCCTTCGCAGATTGCAGCAGGCGCTTTTTGCTTAGCACTGAAAATTCTTGATAATGGTGAATGGGTAAGCAAGCTGTCCCCAAACTGCCAAGCTTTTTAAGTCGTAAATGGCCTTTGAATGCACAACTTTGGCCATTAAGACCATTGTACTGGTTCCTAAATATGTATTGAAACAATGGTAAAACATGTTTGTGATGTCATCTTAGAGTGGTTCCATTTCTTTAGCTAATTTATTCTTTATGATAATGCCCCTTTGAAAATGAGAGCTGCCTGTTAGTCCTTGTGGATGCAGAAGCAGTACTGAGTGATATTAGAAATTCGTTCATATTCTTTGAGCATGTACCTCTTTTTTTTTTTTGGGTCTTTTTGAGACAGGGTTTCCCTGTAGCCCCAGCTGGAACTCCCAAGAGATCCACCTGCCTCTGCCTCCCAAGTGCTGGGATTAAAGGTGTGCACCACCACACCCAGCTGAGTATGTACTTCTCTTAAATACTAGGTACTGTACTACCTGTGGGGTGTACTACCTGTGTGTGATTAGATTGGAGCACAGAATTCTATGGAAGCATTAGAGTACCTGAGGAAAGAGGAATTTTCAGTATCTCTTAACTGGGCTTGGTGATGCATGCCTTTAATCCCAGCAGAGGCAGAGGCAGGTGGATCCCTGAGTTCAAGGTCAGCATTGTCTGCATAGTGAGTTCAAGGTCAGCTGGGGCTACAGGGAGACCCTGTCTCAAAAAAAAAAATTGTCTTAAGCATCTGTTGTAGTTTAGCTATGCACTATCCCCTTGCTAAACTCTAAAATAACATGTAAACATTTTAGGAAAACCGTTGTTGTGAGCATTTTTAACATTTGTTTTCTTAGACACCAATTCTACAGCATTACCTGTCCTACACTGAAGAATGCCTTCTTCCTGTTATGCAGCACCTGGCTAAAAATGTAGTCATGGTGAACCGTGGACTCACAAAGCACATGGTAAGTCAACTGTGACATTGTAAAATGTTGGGGAAAATGAGGCCTCATGGCTACAAAGGCTGTCAGTTTGGGTTTGTTTTTTTTTTTGTGATAAGGTTTCACTACATCCCTAGGATTTGAGCAACCTCTTGCCCCAGCCCCAGCCTACTGAGACTTACAAGCATGTGCTGCTAGTGTAGGTTAGTTGCTTGATTTTGGTACTAGTAACTAAACCCAGGGCCTCTGCTGAGCTACACCCTGAACTCTAAGACGTTGATGTTTTAAACGACTATCTTCTCCCATTTGGTCTTATAATGGTTTTGCTTTCTTCTTTAATTATAGTGCTTTTTTCTTACAGACTATCAAGAACAAGTATGCTACATCTAAGCATGCGAAGATCAGCACTCTAGCACAGCTGAATTGTACTTTAGTTCAGAATTTGGCCAAGGCTGTGGCAAAGGTGTAACTTGTTGGAATGCTACATCTGCGAATACAATTGGCACCGTGTGCTACCTGTATATACGCTCTTTACTCACTTTTCAATAAAGGTTATGGCTCTTTTTACTTCTCACAGCTGAGCTTGTTTTAATGTGGTTGCTTCCTGTTTTAGGGTAAACTAAAAGTTGTCTAAAAAGGATGGTGGGGAATATTTTTTAAAACTGCTTTTAGTTTGAAGGGATCCAACTAAGGTATATAATTGTGGCCTGTGTGTTTATGTGCTCAATCCTTATTTTATGTACCTTGATTGTTCTTAAGTCATCTGGAAGATTTTTCTACTTACTTCTGGTTTAAAGTGTAAGTCTACCAACTTTTGTCTAGTTCCACTTTCTCTTCGGTGGTTGCTGCCTAGCTTTCACCACCATCTCTTGAGCTATCAACTTTTCATCTTTTTAAGCTTTTTCACATGGAAAAATAATTCTAAACCCAATTTTCAAGTTACATGTTTATTCGTGTTAATTGGCTAAGGAAGTTGGATGTTCAGAATAAATTTAAAGCTATCTTTAAAAAGTTAATTTACCCCTCCTTTAATTCTCAGTCTCCTCTACCTTTCAGATATCAACAAATGAGGATGTAAACTTTCTGTATAGACTGTCATGCATATATGTTGTCATGGAGATATTTTATGTGGGTTCATTCTCACAGTAGTGCTCCTTTAAACACATACAAGCCTCTCCCATTTCAAGTATATGATGTATTTAACCATTTACTTGATGGCATTCCTGTATCTCTTTTCCTCTATACACAATGCTGTTTAAATGTCATTTTATATCAAGCTTGGCCTAATGGCCTTAGCAGAGGATGTGTTTTCATTTCTGAGAGAGCCAGGTGACTCAATGTGGTTGACCAAAGTGCTGCTTTCCTCTGCAACTTCTGTCTTTGTGAAATTAACTGGCAAAAACCCTGTCTTGTTTGTTGTTTTAATTTATATTTCTGATGTCAAGTTAAATAAAATCTTATTGCTGTGAAAGTTTTCCCAATTTCTCATTTTCCTTCTCACTGTTTAATGCTGCCTTTGCCATGCAGAAAATTCATATTATGGATAAACATTTTGTTTTAATTCTGTTTTCAATCTTAAAGTCAACTATTTCAAAAACATAAAATGCTTTTAGATATATACTCCAGTAAACTTCAGTATGTATTATATTTCAGTAAACTATGTGTAATACAGGATTCTTTTGTCATGTAATTAAAATCCTTCATTGTCCAACCTCCCCATAAACGCCAAAGGGGTCATAAAGTGATCTACTGACATCTGATCTGCTTGGGTTTTTCCTGTAATAATAGGGTGGTTTTATAGTAACAGTTTTAGAAGTTTATCTGGTCAGATACGGCTTCACTATTTTCAAATACTCGCCCATATGAATTTTAAAATTTTTATCTTGTTACCAGTAGGTTCAGGAAAACTATAATTATGCTAACTTGGGGCAGACTGATATGTGTCCCCCACCTAGAAACTTGTTGAGCCTAACCACAGGACCTTGAATATGGTGTTAGAGTCCATTACATAGTCTTATAGTCCCTTAACCTTATTTCTGGGGTTTTTTTTTTGTTTTGTTTTTTTTTATTAGAAGAAGCATTTCATTACAACAGCATTAACCTATTCAATAACATTTTTCTGAGCTAGGGTACATCTCTTTCAAAATTGGCTGTACATTTTTAGGTTTACAGATGAATTATTACCCTTATATAATCTTTTACTCATTATAAACTCTATAAGACATAAAATTAAATGAGGTTCCAACGTTTAAAAAAGATCTCCACTTCGTTGTCAAAACACACAGTTTCATACAGAAAAATTCATTCCAAGGCAATTGACATTGAGACATTTTCACATACATTTCTAATCTCTATATACATGACTATCACTGGTCACAGTCGCCCACCTTCTGAGCTCCTCGGCATCTGAGCATGAATACAAACTCGTCAGATAGACAGCCTTCCTCTCCCACTAGAGCCTCCATACTCTGCACTTCTGGTAAATCTAGCCAGCCAGAGGTCCCTGTTCCAGGAGGATCAGCTGTTCCTCATCTACGGCAATCCATTGTCAGTATTCCTTTGGATAGAACTGGGGTCTACTGTTCGTTTATCCAGTAGTATGTTGGATTACTATCTGGAAGAGCCTTTATCCATCCTGGCCAACAACTCGACTGAAGGTATCGCCTGTCTGGCTTTGCTGTTTGTCAAGTAACTTTTAGCTATATATATGTATGCTCTTATGAAATTATATTGGCCCCTTTAATCTTTAGTTATACTTCCCTTTTGGGTGTTTAAGGACATACAATTGGACCAGATAAACTGATTTGTTTTTACTCTTAAGGTCATTTGAGGATCTGTTCCTCAGGGGTCCCATGGGCTTGGGAGGACCCCTGGCTCCTTTCTTTTACCAGTTCCATCTATGTAAAGATAATCTTGCTCAACGATTGTTGGCTTCTCTTGGAAGCATGGAGGAAATGATTCCTCCATGTTGACCCCCCTCTTTATAGACTGGACACTGGTTCAAGTCCATCTGGTGGGGTCTTCTTGGCCTCCTTGATCAAGAGGTCAGATGACCCACCACCATTACAGGACATTTTGCGAGATGCTCATAGTCCCTGAGAACTAATCGACCTAGGAGGGCAAGGAGCAAAAAGTGTCCTTTGTGTCCCTCTGACCCAATTAGTATAGATCTCAAGGTATGTCTGTTAAACATCCAAGAAGGTTAGTTCCACCATTCTGGCATTTTTAATTACTGTGTGTCTTGCAGATAAATCTTGGGTAATGACCAGTTGGTCTCAAATAAACCTTATCTAGAGATATATTTCTTGATCTGTTATGTATAATTTGTCAGTAGATTGTAGGAATAATATGGTTCCCTCTGGTTTTCGTGACTAGGTAAGCATTGTTTCTCTCTTGTATCGTCTCACCCCTCTATCATGGTTTTCCCACTT